GCTGGGTACGTTGGTGAAGGCCTGTGGGATGGAATTGGGGTGAGTGCAGACTCACTGACTGAGGCTCCTCAGCGTTCCTGTCAGTCATGCCAGCCCACAGGTGGCTGTGAACTTGAAGTTTGACAGGCTTATCTTTATTCTCTTTGGTCAGTTCACAGAAGGGCTCCTCAGTTTTTGAGGTGTAATTTGTAGATTTGTTTCCTTAGCTGTGTGGTGGGCTAAAAAATTATTCTTAAGCTAATCCAGCTTGTTCTCAACCAAGAGTTTGGTTATTAAATGTTTGTATGATTTTTGATTTCTTAAAATTTCTGTTAACGTGTACTTTATTTGTAGGTCAGTTAGAGTAGTTGTCGCCAATCTTTCGGACCTCACGGACCACCGGTTGGCGACCACTGAGAGCACTATTTAGCATTGAATGGCCATTAGATAAATGGAGGTTATACATCCCATTAGAAAAAAAAATATTTTTAAAAATTTTTTAAATTTTTATTGATTATTTTACAGAGAGGAAGGGAGAGGGATAGAGAGTTAGAAACATCGATGAGAGAGAAACATCGACCAGCTGCCTCCTGACATCCCCCACCAGGGATGTGCCCACAACCAAGGTACATGCCCTTGACCGTCATCAAACCTGGACCTTTCAGTCCGCAGGCCGATGCTCTATCGACTGAGCCAAACCGGTTTTGGCAAATATGTGCAGTCTTGACTTTCTTCTTCAGTTGATGGGGGAAATCACAAAGAGCTGAGAATATTTGTCCTGGTGTTCTTGAATAATCTTGCTTAGGTTTAGCATTGATGGTGTTGTATGGATATCCATCATATTGATATCTCTATTCAAAATAAACTTTGGAAAGGCCCAAATCAGTTAGTTTAATATGACCTTCATTAGAAATAAGCATATTGTCTGGTTGCAAATCCCTGTGAATGATTCCATGTCTATGAAGGTAGTGTAGAGCCAGTGCCACTTCAGAAATATAACCATTTATGTGTAGGAGAAATTTGACAGCTCTGCCAATAAGGTTTTCCATTAGCAAGTAGACATTGTTTGCTGACTTCAAGGAATACTACAGATGGACAGTGAAAGGACTTTTGCTTAGGGCCAGTGCATCCCTCGCAGCTTGTACCGGATCAGTCATTTTTTGTTGATCATGTCTGCTTTTTGACCACCTTGCCTGCCTACAACTTGCCACCTTTCTGTCCTAGATACACCTTCCCAAAGGCCCACGGCTAATGGGCTTCACTATGCTGAAGTCCTCAAGGGAGGGAGGTCTTGGCACTGAGATCCTATTCACGCATTTCCCTGTAGCTGCACCTTTCCACGCTCCTCGCTCCCCGCAGCGGGCTCCAGTGCAGGCCAGCCCAGACTGAAGTCTGCAGCTGCTGCCAAAGCCCTCAAAGCTTTTTGTTTTTTTAAAAAAACGTATTTTTATTGATTTCAGAGAGGAAGGGAGAGGGAGAGAGAGAGAGAAACATCAATGATGAGAATCATTGATAAGCTGCCTCCTGCACGCCCCCACCCGGCATCGCCTGCAACCCGGGGAACCTGGGACCCTTCAGTCCCCAGGCCAGTGCTCTGTCCACTGAGCCAAACCGGCCCATTGCTCTGAGGGGGATCGAATCCACCACCTTGGCATATCAGGATGCTGCTCTAACCAGCTGAGCGACCTGGTCAGAGCTGCTGTCTTTCCTTTTTTGAGTAGAAATTGGAAGTGGCATTTTGAACATAAAACTTCTGTGTTACAATTATGCAATAACAATAACAGTGCAAGATGAATTATGCATGCATTATTCAGAATTAGACTGAGACTCATTTTAGTATTTCTGTTGCATTGGTATATGAGATTTGAATGAGAAAATCTAACTGCTTAGAAAAAATTCTATACTGATGTTAATCAGTTGCACATATTTGGTTTTAAATATTTTGAGGCCACTTGGACTCAAAGTCTTACAATATTGCTTGATCATTTAATTACTGACTACTTCAAAAAATATATATTTTATTGATTATTTACAGAGAGGCTAATTACTCACTACTTTCATTAAGATATAGTAGAGCAGCCCTAACCGGTTTGGCTCAGTGGATAAAGTGTCGGCCTGTGGACTCAAGGGTCCCAGGTTCGATTCTGGTCAAGGGCATGCACCTTGGTTGCGGGCACATCCCCAGTGGGGAGTGTGCAGGAGGCAGCTGATCAATGTCTCTCTGTCATTGATGTTTATAACTCTCTATCCCTCTCCCTCTTTGTAAAAAAAAATAAAAATAAATAAAATATATTTAAAAACAAAAGAGCTGATTACAATGATGCAGTGATGGAGAGTTGCAGAACTAGACAGCTTGGGTTTATATATATAATTTTAAAAAAGTATATTTTATTGCCAAAACCAGTTTGGCTTAGTGGATAGAGTGTTGGTCTGTGGACTGAGGGGTCCTGGGTTCGATTCCGGTTGGGGGCATGGGCGTTGATTGAGGGCACATTCTCGGTGGGAGGTGTGCGGGAGGCAGCTGGTCGATGTTTCTCTCTCATTGATGTTTCTGGCTCTCTATACCTCTCCCTCTCTGTAAAAAAAAAAAAAAAAAAAAAAATCAATAAAATATATTTCAAAAAATGAAAAATATATTTTATTGACTTTTTAGAGAGGAAGGGAGAGGGATAGAAAGTCAGAAACATGGATGATGAGAGAAACCTCGATTAGCGCCCGCCCCCCCCCCCTCCCCCCGCCCACCTGCCCCACAACCCCCCACTGAGGATGTGCCTGTAGGCAAGGCACATACCCTGGAATGGAATCGAACTTGGGATGGAATCGAACTTGGGACCCTTCAGTCCGAAGGCCAATGCTCTATTCACTGAGCCAAACTGGTTTTGGCTTGGGTTGATATTTTTAGCTTTGCCATTTACTTAGTAGCTCTTGATTCTGGGCAGGTTATTTAATGCCTGTGCCTTGTGTGTTTATATCTGTAAAATGAGGATAAATAGTTGGGAGGTATAATAAGTTAGTATATATAAAGTTCTTAGTGTCTGTAGTCACTATGTAAATGTTAGCTATTATCATTACTGTAGAGAGGAATTAGTCAAAACCTTAAAATAGTTAGGTGTGTATGTAAGCCCATAATTTTGCCTATTGTTAATTTTTGAATAAGAATTAGGGTCTTAGAAAGTAATTTGTGCAAGGTTCCATAACTTCCTGTTTCCCTGAAAATAAGACAGTGTCTTATATTAATTTTTTCTCCCAAAGTTGCGCTAGGTCTTATTTTCTGAGGATGTCTTATTTTCGGGGAAACACGGTAGTTAGTTGTAAAGCTAGGACTCTTAACCACATCTCTTGTGGATCAGGAGAGTGTCCTACCCACTTTTATCTGGTGTCCGTTGGTTGTGTACTTGAAGCTGGTTCCAAATTGAGAGACTTCTGCTTGGAAAAGACCTCTGGGAGAGCCTCAGTTTTACTAGTGAGTCTTCGCATTTGCCTATATTTACATGTAAATGTTTGAAGATGTTGATAGTGGCTTTTCTACAAGGGTGTCCTCTTGGAAGTTTAGGGATGGATGACTGGGCCCACACACTTTGCCCAACCCCCTTCCCCACTGCACCATGGTCCTGTCACTGGGCCCGGGCCACCTGGTGCTCTTGTCTTCCTGGAAGTGAAACCCCTGGTCACCGGTGGGGTGTGTCTGAGCTTCTCCCCCCACCAGGTGGTGCCAGGCACGAGTCTGGTGTTTTATTAGCTTCTGGGAACCACTCACCCTGGTGCTCCGCAGGGGGGGTACCCCTGATAAAATTAGAATTATGTTGACGCTTTCAAGGCACTTCCCAAGATGACACTCAGACTGAGTCATCCCTAAGGTGTGTGGTTGGGTGGCCTGTCACCTGTTGCCCCTGCACACATGACATCTCATGTTTTTATTTTGTATTCATCAGTTACCAGTGATGCTGAGTATCATTTCATTTGTTTGCCATCTGTATGTCTTCTTTGGTGAAGTGTTCATTCAAATCTTTTGCCCATTTTCAAAAATAAGGCTTGTTTTTTCAATTATTGAATTTTGCAAGTCCTTTTCAGATAAGTGATTTGCAAAAATATTCTTTTAGTCTGTGGGTCGTCTTCATTCTCTTAACAGTGCCTTTTGAAAAACAACAAGTTCATTTCGGTGAAATCAAACTTACTAATTTGTGTGGATTGTGCTTTATGTCATTAGAAATATTTGCCTAATTAACGTTATAAAAATTTTTCCAGTGTTTTATTATTATATAAGTTTCATGGCTTTAGATTATACTTTAAAATCAATGTCTGCCTTGAGATAATTTTTGTGTATGGTATGATTTTGAATCGAAGTTATTTTTGATAAATGGATATCTATTTATTTCAGCACCATTTGTTCAAAAGATTATCTTTTCTCCTTTGAATCTTTATTAAAAATCAGTGATCCTTATATAAAAAGCTATGAAGTCAGATATTGTTAACTCTCAACTTCTTTTTTTTAAGGTGCTTTGGCTTTTTTAGGCCATTGCATTTGCATATGAATTTTAGATTGAAATTGTCAATTTCTATAAAAAACATGCTTTCATAGCATGTTTTTTATAGAAATTTTGTTTGGGATAGCTTTGAATCTTTACATCAATTTACTGTTTATTTAAATATTCTTTAATTTATTTTAGTAATGTTTTATCGTTTTGGTTTTTTTTAATATATATTTTATTGATTTTTTACAGAGAGGAAGGGAGAGAGATAGAGAGCTAGAAACGTCGATGAGAGAGAAACATCGACCAGCTGCCTCCTGCACACCCCCTACCGGGGATGTGCCTGCAACCAACGTACATGCATGCCCCTGACCGTAATCGAACCTGTGACCCCTCAGTACACAGACCGACACTCTGCCACTGAACCAAATCGGTTTTGGCTGTTTATCGTTTTTATTGTACATGTTTTTCACGTTTTGTCAGACTTTTTTCTAAGTATTTAATATTTTTAATACTATTATAAAACGCTTTTAAAACTTGCTCTCCACTTAGGTCTTGTCCAATAAGCATGTGGCTCCTGATCATCTGTTGCAAATATGCCAGCGCATCGGTCCCATGTTGGATAAAGAAATCCCACCCAGTATTTCAAGAGTCACTTCTTTACTTGGTGCAGGAAGGCAGTCTTTGCTACGTACAGCAAAAGGTACCTTAATTTGAAGAAGTGTTCTGCTTTGTATTAGTAGTTTAATAATTACTATAATTGTGAAGTAACGTGAGCATTGTGGAAGAAAGGTGATATGTAACAATATACCATGCTGTGGACTATAAATATAAAATTCTCTGCATTTAGCATAGACATTGAATTTTATTGCATAAGTGTTTAATGGGTCCTTCTGCATTAAAGAATGAAGGTATGGATGTTAAGCTAAAAAGTTTGAATTTATTCAGAGATGTGTTTGAGGTTTTATCAATGTGAGTTCTTAATTTTCCATTTGTAGCTCACTTATAACTTCATTGAATGTAATTGTATGTGTCTAATAAACTCTTTAAATGCTAGAAGTATTTCATTTGATATTTAGATCTTTGAAAGCCCTTTGTTATAAAGGGGAAGTGATTTTCTAAATTTGGTAGCAGTTTGAAAAACACCCAAAATGTATAATTGCATGGTTCTTTTCTCACCAACTTCATTTTTTTGCTAAGTTATTTGGTAGCAAACTGTTAAGAATTGCTGTTCTTTCTCTCTCTGTTAGCGTGGTATAAAGCATTCAGACTAAGTACATGTATGTGATATGATCTGTGTATACACCGTGGCTTAACTGCAAATGGCAAGAATGTTGGTTCTTCTGATCTTGAGCATACTTCACGTTCATCCCCGTGATTATTTTTAAGATCTCTTGCTCACATGATGCTGCCTTTTAGATGTACCGCCAGTATAAAGCTTGGCTGAGAAAGAACCAGTCTCCTCCTTGGTCCCATGCCAGACCGGTTTGTCAGCTTCAGTTGTTTCTTAGTGCTCTCTGGCTATGCCACACCGTGGCTTGAATCAGGAAACTGTTCATATTCTTTTTTCTGTGTCCCTATTCACCTGTAATTATTCTGTTTTAGGTTGTTATATAGTGGTTGCCTGGGTAGCCTGTTTTCTTTACTTGTGTCAAGCTCAATGTCGTTTTGTGATGAGCACTGCTTTAGAACTGGCAGACCTTAGAAGAGACTTCAGCAAGCTGCCCTAGGGGTAGGGCCTATATTTCTCTTTCTGTTTAGTACTAGTGCCATGGAGGACGCCTAGTAACTGCTCTTTGATCATGATAGTGGTATGAATCCATTCATGTAAAACGCAATATGCCTGTGTGTTTGGGGCACCCGAGGCTCAGTGGGGGTTTAGTAGGATGCCTTTCTTCCCGCCCTCTCTCAGTTGTGAAGAAGCTAATTTCCAGCACAGCATAGTCTGTGTTCTGCTGCTTCCTCCTGTTGAGGAGCAGACGTTTTTCCTTGGTATATTCACTGGTAGGTCAAAGGGAATGGGGTATTAGGATTAGTGTTCAGACTCACAGATTCTACATATAAGCTCTTGTATAAAGATCAGTGATGGCCCTTAAACAAGAGGAAAGCCATTTTAATTTTGTCAATATTTCCGGAGGAGATTAAACTCATGGTAATATTGGCCAACATTAATTATAAAAGTCAATAACATTTAAACACTTAATTAAATCAAGGATTTTCATGTAAATCAAAGACTTAAAAATTTCCCTACAAAAATTTCCATTTTTGGAAAGTTGAATCAGTTGTGATTAAGGCTTTTTATTGTTAATATTGTGTGGAATAATTCTGCATTGGAAAATAAAAACTAAATTTGGCTTTGAATGGGACTTGGAGTCAAAAGACCTGGTTTTGTGGCCCATCTTGACTGACCATTTGTGGTGGACCTCTTTAAAGGTCCTGGAACCTTTGAGCCTCAGTTACCTCACTTGTAAATTGGCGATGAATACCTACCTCACAGGGTTGTTGTGAGGGTCCATGAGATAATGTATGTGGAAAGCACTTTGGAAATTGTAAAGTGCTACATGGTGTTAGTTGTTGTTGTATCTGAGATGTCTTACATTTTTCCCCCCTCAGAAATAGTCTAATAAACTTCTAGGGCTTTTCTGTTAAAGTATATTATTAGTTGGTAAAACTTTGAATAAACAGTTTATTAAAATATACGTAAGTATTCTATAAAATCTTTCTTGGGGTTAACTTTCAAGATTTTATGTGTATCTAAAATTCATTTTAAAGACTGCAGGCACACAGTGTGGAAGGGCTCTGCCTTTGCTGCTCTTCACAGAGGAAGACCCCCCGAAATGCCCGTGAATTACGGTTACCCACCGAGCCTGGGTAAGTGCGGCTGGCCTTTCCGACTTCCGATGCGTTCTTTTAACTTCTTGACCAGTTTTGTAGCTGCTTTGCTAAAATGTAAAAGGAAGTACTTGGTAGTATGTTGTTTTAGTAGTAACAAGGATCATTTTTCACATTGGTTTTTCTAAAGTAATTTCTAAAAGTAATAAAAATTAATGAAAAACAATTTTATTATAATAAAAAGTCTGTACCAGTGATTGTAGTAGAACAGAACTGGAAAGAAACTTGTATCCTTGTTTCTTGAACGTAGGTTTTTGTTTTGGAGTTCTTCTTAGCTTTTTACATACTGGCACCCCCTTAACCATTTTTATTGTTTTTATTTCCTAGTGGAGATACATCGAGGCAAACAACTCACAGGGTGTTCCACTTTTAGCACAGCATTTCCAGGAACCATGTACCAGCATATAAAAATGCACAGGAGGATTCTTGGACATCTATCTGCTGTTTACTGTGTAGCATTTGATAGGACAGGACATAGAATCTTTACAGTGAGTTAACATTTTAAACTCCATTTGTTATCATCTGGAGCACTTTGGTGTTCACCAGAATCTTTTAAGAAGTCTTAAAAAATACATACATTCCATGTTTCCTATTCTCACGATTTAGATTCAGTAGGTCCAGTGTGGGCCCATAAATTGGCCTTTTAAAAAATATGTTTTTATTGATTTCAGAGAGGAAGGGAGAAGGAGAGGGAAAAATAGAAACATCAGTGATGGGAGAGAATCATTCATCGGCTGCCTCCTATAAGCCTCACACTGGGGATCAGGCCCACAACTTGGGCCTGTGCCCTGACTGGAAATTGAACTGTGACCTCCTGGTTCACAGCTCGATGCTCAACTACTGAGCCATGCTGGCTGGGCAAATTTGCCTTTCTAAAAAAATGTTTTTTATTTTATTTTAGAGAGATAGAAACATTGATGAGTAAGAAACCCGATCAGCTGCCTTCTGCATGACCCTATTGGGGATCCAGCCTGAAACCTGGGTTGTACCCTGACTGTGAATTGAACCCCAGTAGCCCCTTGGTTCATGGGTCAGTGCTCAACCACTGACCCATACCAGCTGAGCTATACATGCATTTTTATTAGTTTGCCAGGGGATTCAGATGGGGATAGACATGGCCTTGTGTGGTGGTTGTGAGACATTGATTTAGAGCGGTGGTTCTTGGGCATTATCGTCAAGGATGCTTATGCATTCCTAATACTTTTTAGCCCATTCTGTACCTACTCAGTCAGATTAATTTCTGCTGTGTATTAACCAAAATCAAACCAAAATTCCTCTCACCAATATCCAGTTCTCTACAGGTGATTCGTAATTCATATTCACATTGAGTATTCACCAGTCCAGGGAAATTGATTACTTAAACTTTGAAATTATAAAATATTATTTTATAATTATTATAAAACTATATGTAACTATTTAGAATTTAATTTACATTTTTTAAATTTACATTTTTAATGTTTTAAGGGAAAATTATGATGGACTTATTGTTCAAATTTTATTTCTCAATTGTGAGATTCAGAGTAGATACTCTATTCAAATATTTATGGATGGATGGATGTTGGCTTGTATTATAAGTTTTAGACACTGTTGTTTGGTTATTTAAAATGAGGAAATGAGGGTGCTATTCCATTATTTTTTAGTTATTTTTGGGAGCACCTACTCTTGTATTTCAGCCTGTGAAATGTAGATCTGTCCTAACACATCAAGTTATTTAGCTTAATGTGAACTAAACTGACACTTAACCATTGTTACTGAAATAGGTGAGCCATGAACTTTTATTTTTTAATCCTCATCCAAGGATATTTTTTCCATTGTTTTAAAATATTTTTTTATTGCGCTGGCTGGTTTGGCTCAGTGGATAGAGCATTGGCCTCTGGACTGAAGGGTCCCGAGTTTGATTCAGTTCAAGGGCACATGTCTGGGTTGTAGGCTCGATCTCCAGTGGGAGGGTGTGCAGGAGGCAGCCTATCCATGATTTTCATCATTGATGTTTCTGTTTCTCCAGATCTCTCTGAAATAATAAAAAATATATTTAAAAAAATACATTTTTATTGATTTCAGATGGGAACGGAGAGGGAGAGATAGAAACATCAATGATGAGAGAGAGTCATTGATCGGCTGCCTCCTGCACGCCCTCTATGGGGATTGAGCCTACAAATCTGGGTTTGTGCCCTAAGACCTGCTGTGCTTCATGGATTTTAGAGTGAGTAGAATGAAGGAAAGAAGGAATGGGACAGAGAGATAAAGAGACAGAAGCATCAATGTGAGAGAGACATGATAGGTTGCTTCTGACAAACACCCTGATTGGGAATTGAACCCGAAACCCTCCGGTGTGCAGTCTGACACACTAACCACTGAGCAACACTTGCTAAGCGAGCCATGAACTTCTAGTTGGACTTACTACTGGGTAGAGAATTTTGGGAAGATAGTATTTATAATATGATCTGATTCATAGAAATGAAAGCTTCACAATATCTTTAGGTAGACATTCTTCAGTTTGAAGAAAAAACTTTGTAAGTTTTCTTAGCATGAATCTTATAATCTACAGAAAATTCTACAGTTGGAAAGAGGAAGAGTTATAGATAACTTGAGTGACATGTAAATGGTACTCTTTTAAATGATGTGAAAGGCTTCCAAATTAACATTTATTTTGGGATTTTTTTTCCCCCTTAGGGTTCAGATGATTGTTTGGTGAAGATTTGGTCAACACACAATGGCCGCCTATTATCCACATTAAGAGGTCATTCTGCAGAAATTTCAGATATGGCAGTAAACTATGAGAACACAATGATTGCCGCAGGGAGCTGTGATAAAATAATTAGAGTGTGGTGCTTGAGAACTTGTGCCCCAGTTGCTGTGCTCCAGGGACACACAGGGTCAATTACATCTTTACAGGTAAACTCATGCTCATGGGCACATTTGTATACTGTCTCCTTTTCTTTTAAAGCTCTTGCTCTTTGGAGATAAGAAAGAGTAAAATGCTTAGTAATTATATTATCTATTTTTTAAAAAATAAATTTTTATTGTTCTTATTATTACAAATGTTCCTTTCCCTCCTGCCCCCCACCATTGCTCTCCTCCACCAGGTTCCCACCCCACCCTCTGCCCTTTCTCCACTCCCCATTGTCCTCATCCATAGGTGCACAGTTTATGTTCAGTCTCCTCCCACATCCCCCTCTCCCCTTTTCCCCAAGAATCGTCAGTTCATTCCCCTTCCATACCTCTGATTCTATTATATTCAAGTTATATTGTTCATCAGATTTTTTTTTTTAAATTTCCTTGGTTTTTAGATTCACTTGTTGATAGTTAACGTATTTGTTGTTCATAATTTTTATCTTTATTTACTTTCTCTTCTGAAAGAACCCCCTTCAGCAATTCATATAATTCTGGTTTGGCAGTGATGAACTCCTTAAGTCTTTTTTTATTAGTGAAGCTCTTTATCTGACCTTCGATTCTGAGTGATAGCTTTGCTGGATAGATTATCTTTGGCTGTAGGTTCTTACTATTCATCACCTTGAATATTTCTTGCCATTTCCGCCTGGCCTGCATGGTTTCTGTTGAGAAATCAGCTGACAATCGTATAGGTGCTCCTTTATAGGTAACTACCTTCTTTGCTCTTGCTGCTTTTAATATTCTCTCTTTGTCTTTTGCTCTTGGAATTTTAATTATGATGTGTCTTGGTGTGGTCCTCTTTGGATTCCTTCTGTTTGGAGTTATGTGCGCTTCCTGGACTTGTAAGTCTAATTCTTTCCCCAGGTGGGGGAAGTTTTCTGTCACTATTTCTTTCAGTATGTTTTCGAAATCTTGCTCTCTCTCATCTTCTGGGACCCCCATAATTCTGATGTTGGTTCGCTTGAGGTTGTCCCAGAGATTTCTTACATTATCTTCAATTTTCTGGATTCTCTTGCCTTCTAGCTTCTGCGGAGGAGTGTCTTCTGGCTCTTTATGTTCCAACTCTTTGACTTGATTCTTGCGATCTTCCATTCTGTTTTTAGGACTCTGTATAATATTTTTCATTTCAGTCAATGTATTCTTTATTTCTTGTTGATCCCTTATCATTTCTTGTTGATTCCTTATTAATTTCTAGTTGGTCTCTTTTCATATCCTCATAGGTCTTATCCATCTTTTCTAGGAAATTCTTGAAAAACCTTATAAGCGTAGATTTGAACTCTATATCCAGTTGCTTTTTGTCCTCCATTTCTTTCGTTTGTGATCTATTTCGTTGTCGCATTTCCCAGCTACAGATGGGGTGGAGTTTCAGGGTGGAGCCTACAGCCTTGGTTTCTGTCAGCCCCGCCCTATGCGGCTCCTGGGTCTCAGGGTCCTTCAGTACTTGCTGCATGGGCCTCTGAGAGAAAGGTGCCCTCGATTTTCGCCTGTTACCAAACAGTCTAGGCTTTCCCCCAATGAGCCCGGTATTGGGGTTCAGTTCAGTTGGAAGTGGAGTTGGAGGTGGCGTTCAGAGCAGTCTGGCGCCCCTGTCTCCTTCCCGCCAGGGCAATCCCGCGGCACAGCCAACCATCCCTTCTCTGCGCACAATGTGCGCGCCTCTGGGACCTCCTTTCGCTGCTCCCCCGGGGTTCCGCCTTACAGCCCAGCTCCCTCTGGATGAGCCTGGGTCCCCGGGGTTTGGCCTAGAACTGGGGTTCAGAGCAGTCAGAACTGTGGCCCAGCACAGTCGGAGCGTTTATCTCCTTCCCTCTAGGGAACACCAGCCAGGCACTCAGCCTCCCTCCTCTCCAGCTCTGTCCTCTCCAGCTCCGTCCTCTCCAGCTCCGTCCTCTCCGCTCGCGCGCGCTACGTGTCTCCGCACCTTAGGCTTTTACAGCTCTTCCGCGCTTCCTTCTGGTTTTCTCCTTGCTTCTCGTTGTAGAATTTCCAGTCAGTCGACTTCCTGTAGTTCTGGGTAATGTCCATTTTATATTTTAGTTGTATTTTATTGAAATTGTTGTGTGCGGCTGCGGCCAGGTGTTTACCTGGGCAGCCATCTTGGATTCTTCTCTATATTATCTATTTTAAATCTAGTAATCAAGAAAAAGTATAAAATATATAATTAATCATACTTCATGAATCTTGGAAGAGTGATTTAATAAATATGTAATATGGTTAGAGCTAATTTAAGTGCAGGCTTAATGAATGACTTACTGCTTCCTTTCAGTTTATGGTTGAACTAAATGAGTCAATTACAAGCTGGTGACAGGTTAATAGTTTTTCTACCTTAGCCGAAACCGGTTTAGCTCAATGGATAGAGCGTCGGCTTGGGGACTGAAGGGACCCGGGTTCGATTCCGGTCAAGGGCATGTACCAGTAGGGATGTGCGAGAGGCAACTGATTGATGACTCTCTCTCATCGATGTTTCTAACACTCTCTCTCCCTTCCTCTCTGTACAAAATCAATAAAATATATTTAAAAACAAAACAAAACAAAAACAAAACAAAAAAAACAAAAAACCCTTCTTTAAAAAAAATAGTTTTTCTACCATAAAATTTGTGTATTTTGATAAACTAATTAAAATTGCCAAAGTATATTTAAACTAATTTTTAGTCCATATTCTAGAACTTAAGTTTAAATAGTCACTTTCATCATCTAAACCCTTCATTTTGTATACTTGATGAGATGGAGATTGGAAGAAGCTTCTTTGAAGTCACAGGTTAAATCCTGCCTCCCTTACAAAGTATATAAAGATAACAAAACAGATTATAAACTATACTCTCTGAGATGTCATAATGATAAGCATGTGAATCGTGTAAAAATCACTAAACCTATTTTTTCTTTCTTTTCTGCCACAGGGAGTCCTGGTGTTGCTTTGCTGAGCTCCTCGCCTAGAGTGGCTCATGAGGCAGCGAGTTGCATTTCTTTCTTCCTGGCTTTCCTCCCCATTCTGGGGGAAGGAAAGGTCGCGGTTAAGGTTCTTAGATTAATTTGATTGTTTGGATTGATTCTTGGCTCTTTATCTTACATGCTTCCTTTCAATCAATATTATATATTGCCATCAGACAAATCTTTTTGTTGCCTTTAATGTTTTATTTGATAATTACAGCTCTTACTTTGCTGTTATTGGGCCCAGATTCTCAACTCATTTCACCACCGCTTCCCAAAATGAACACTTTAGTCATATAGGTCTTTCAGTTGCTGTCATATACCATATCCTCGATCAAGTTTGTTCATATTATTTCTTTGCCTAGTATGTGCTTCTTATTTTCTTTGTGTTTTCCTCTTCATCTTTTAAGTCTTCTTGGATATCTCTGGACCAAATCAAACTTCTTTCTCTAGCTTATTTGTGTAGCACAGTTGATATTTTATTAAATACAAATCTCAGTCTTATTCTAAAGTTATAGAATAATTTTTGCATTTTCTTATGTTTATGGGTTTTTAAAAAACGTTTAAATTGTGATTCACTTGGAATTTATCTTGTGTGCAGTCTGGAGGATAGATCCAGCTTTTTCCTCTATCGTTTATCCCTTCACCATTTATGCAAAGATTCATTGTTTGTCCAGCTGATTTGAGCTGGCACCTTTATCTTAAGTCTTATATTAGGGTCCAGTTTGGAGTTTATCTTTTTTCTACTGGTTGATCTGTCAATGTAATTACTCTGGCCATAGTTTTGATTATTGAGGCGTGGCGATGTGCTTTCAGATCCATAGTGCTAGGTCTTTACTTTTTCTTTGTAAAAGTTTTTCTGACTCTTCTTGTTTATTAGTCTTGAAAATAATCTTACTGAGATCACATTACCTTTATAAGTTAAATTGAAATAGAATTTACTTTTTTGTTGTTAATCTTCACATGAAGATATTTTTTCCATTGATTTTTTAGAGAGAGTGGAAGGGAGGGAGGGAGGGAAGGAGAAAGGCAGGGAGAGAGAGACACATTGATCAGCTGACTCCTGCATGTGCCCAACTTTGGCCCAGGATTGACCCTGCAACCCAGGTACATGTCCTTGACCAGGAATCGAACCCTTCAGTGCACAGGCTGCCACTCTAACCACTTACTAACACCAGCCAGGGCAAGATAGACTTACTTTTTTATAGGTTATGTTTTCACTATAATAGTATCACCTATATTTTTGGATTTCTTATATTTTAAGGAGTCAGTTGATGTTAATTTTGAAAAACTCTGAACGCCAACTTTAGTAGAAGCTCAGGAAACTGACTTATATATGTTATTGTTTTTTAGTTTAGCCCAATGGCCAAAGGCTCTCAAAGATACATGGTTTCTACTGGTGCTGATGGGACGGTTTGTTTTTGGCAGTGGGATTTAGAATCTCTGAAATTTAGGTAAGTGACTGTTAGTATTAACGTATTCTTTAATGTTGTTATGGTTTAGTCTAATGAAGTTTGGTTATAAAGAGAAATTATAGATTGTAGTTGGCTTTTTACTTTTGAACTTAATTTTTATTATAAAAATTTTTATTATAAACATTAGGATATGTGCTATATCAACTACTTACTGTTTATAATTTGCTATTTAAATAGTTGGATATGTAAGAGAAGCATAGCTATTCTGTGTCATGGGCACATTTTTGTGAAAGGAAAAAAAAGAGATAGTATGTATGTGAAACATTTTGGAATGTATGATTAGATACATAGAAGTTTAGGCAGGGTCATTGAAGAACCAGGAGCCCTGGGTTTTGGACCTGTGCTGTCCCAATTCAGTACATACATGTGACTATCAAGCACATGAAATGTGGCTATTGTAATTGAGGAACTGAATTAAATTAGATTTGAATATTGATACTTGATTTAGTTATTACAACACAGGCATATTTCAAACCACTTGAATATGTGAATTTAGTTTTTCAGCTGTAAGTTTTAAGAAAACGTAATACAGTATTTGATGAAAATGTTCAAATTAAGGTGTGGTATAAGTATTCATTTTGCTCTGAAAGATTTCAAAGAATTAATGTGAAGGAAAGAAGCTAAAGTTCTCATTAAAATATTAGTAATGTTGTGATATATTGAATATATTGGGTTAAATGAAATAAAGTTATTTTATTTCCTTTTACTCTTTAAAAGGAAATTTCAGAGAGGAAGGGAGAAGGAGAAATTTCAATGATGAGAAAGAATCATTGATCGACTGTCCCCTGTATGCCCTTACTGGGGATCGAGCCTGCAACCTGGGCATGTGCCTTTGACCGTAATCAAACTTGGGACCCTTCTGTCCGCAGGTTGACGCTCTATCCACGGAGTCAAACCAGCTAGGGCTCCTTTTACTTTTAATGTGACTTCTAAAAAATTTAAAGTTATATGTGTGGCTTGCATTCCATTTTTTTTGGACAGTCTGTACCTGGTGGTTTTATGCTCTGTGCTGCAGCCTTGAGAATGGGATCATTTAGACTCCTGAGCTGCAGTCACCTCAGTGACAAGATGGGGTTAGTAGGCCTGCTCTTTTTGTGTAGTAGGATCAGTGTGAAGATGGGGATTGAACAGCCTTCTAAAACCCCTCTAGCTATAATAGCATATGTGGAAATACTTGGTATACTGGGAGGCACTATAGAAATAACATCTTAATATTTAAAGTTAGCTTAAAAATCAATATTTAAACCATGTTAACATGTAGAACTAATGTGTTTTAAAACATCTTTTATAGCGCGCGTCCCTTGAAGTTTACTGAAAAGCCCAGACCAGGTGTTCAGATGCTTTGTTCTTCTTTTAGTGTTGGTAAGCACTTCTTTCAGTTTCACTTTAGCGTTTACTGAATGACCGCTTAGGCTGAGAGCCTTTCTCAGACAGATGGTAAATGACTTTGTTCATTTTTTTTGTTGTTGTTTTTTTGTTCATTTTTTTAAGTTTAATCCGTGATGTTCATTTCAATAGCCGCCTTCCTGTCTTTACTCCCCCCATTCTGCCTGTTTATGATGTTGAGTAGCAATCAGAGTCAGTGGTAGAAGAGGAAGCTCTAGGAGTTCACATCAGTGATTTCTGAGTCATGTGCCCCAGTTGTATGATATACCAAAATTGTGATTTTCCTTTCACAGGCTAAAGGGCATATTTTTGGTGGTTTAAATTGGTTTTCCACACATCTTGGTGAAATTATTCCCCAGTTTCTTTTCTTCCACAGTGAACTTGTGTGTTAACCTTTCTAATTAGGAGAGATCAAGGACGTTTTCCCTATAAAATTCTGAAAACTTCCGCAAGTGAACTTCATACTCCATAGCTAGGCTTTGGGATGTAAAGTTGTCTAGAAGCAGAGCCCCTTTTGCCAAACATATTTTAGAGCCCCAGCACTTAAGATCTTTGCCACAACCAATAAAATGGGGCAATAACGAACACTTCCATATTGAGTTAGCTTTAAAAAAGTAGAGCCCCATCTGATTTCCCCCCCCAGCACCATCAAGTAATTCTTCCACTCCAGCTGGGTTCCCTGCAGTTGAACCCAGTTCAGATATTATCTGCCTAGAGCAGGGGTGGGGAGCTTCTGGCCCTCTGGCCGTCTAAGACCCACGGAATCATTTGGTTGTAGGCCTTGCCAAGGCATTAGGGGTGAGTTAATTAAATGCTTACCACATATAGCAGGCTAATTTTTAAGCTGATAATTTTGTATGGTCTGTGCATGATGTTATCTTTATCCATCGTAATTATTGACAGAAAAAAGGTATTCCGCATCCCTGATCTAGAGGAGAGTGAGATGCTGCAGGTTATAGGCTCAGTCCTCCATGATTCTCCCATTCCCCTTCTCACTTGTGCTTCTGACCTCGAGTATTGTCCACAACTCCTCCTTGTAAGCTCTCTGAAATCTGTCCTTTTGGGTTTTTATAGAGGGTTCCTTACATAGACATAATTGAATAAACCGGTGAGTAGGGCGATTGATTAAGCCCTCCCCTTTCCTCCTCAGGTGCTTTCTAAAAGTCGTTGTATTAATATCAACTCTGTTGTGGTTAAAATGGGTTTAAGACTATCAAGACACCTTTATCACTTTGTCACTTAAGAAATTCCAAAGGTTTTAGGAGCTCTGTGCCATAAATGAGGATGAAGAGCAAATATATATTTCCTATTATATACCTAATTTTACAATGTTATATTAATTTTAAAATGTCTTTATATAGTGAATTGGAAAATGGATCTATTGAAATAAGCTTTTGGGATAAGAGATCTTGCTTAATTCAATATAGAAATTTGGTTTGTGCAGATATTTGTTATAAACTGGATTTTTAAAGCTTAACATTTTTATTTCAGGTGGTATGTTTTTAGCCACTGGTAGTACCGATCATGTAATCAGAATGTACTTTTTGGGTTTTGAAGCACCTGAAAAAATCGCAGAACTTGAAAGCCACACTGTAAGTATTCATGTTTTAAAATTCGGTAGATTAGCCGAAACCGGTTTGGCTCAATGGATAGAGCGTCGGCTTGGGGACTGAAGGGTCCTGGGTTCGATTCCGGTCAAGGGCATGTACCTTGGTTGCGGGCATATCCCTGGTGGGGGGTATGCAAGAGGCAGCTGATCGATGACTCTCTCTCATTGATGTTTCTAATTCTCTATCTCTCTCCCTTCCTCTCTGTACAAAATCAATAAAATATATTTAAAAAAATTCGGTAGATTAATTTTAGTAATATTCCTATTGATATATAGTCGAATATTACTGACAAATTGATAAGGATTTTTAAAAAATTGAATTCATTGGGTTAAGATTTTAACTTAATTGTAGAAGGAATTGTATTTAAATATCTTCACCTGAGGATATTTTTTCCATTGATTTTTAGAGAGTAGAAGGGAGGGAAGGAGAGGAAGAGGAGGAGAGAGAGGGAGGGAGGGATGAAGGGAAGGAGGGAGGGAGAGAAACGTTCATGTGAGAGAAACACATCAATTGGATGTGAGAGAAACACATTGATTGGTTGCCTCCAGCACACACCCCAACTAGGGCAGGGGAACAAACCCGCAACTGAGGTATATGCCCTTGGCTGGGAATCAAACACGAGACCCTTCAATATGCTGGCTGATGCTCCAACCATTGAGTAACACTGGCCAGGACTAAGTCAGAATCTTGATTATGACAGTTGATTTGAGTATGTTAGGTTCTTGAAATCAGAATGTTATTTTATTAATGTACTAGAGGCCCAGTGCATGAAAATCCATGTGCTGGGGAGTTGGGGGTCCCTCAGCCCGGCCCCCCTGCCCTCTCAGTCCAGGAGCCCTCGGGGGATGTCCCACTGAGACGGCTAAGCCGCAGTCTGGCCTCCCTTTGCAGGAGGCACCTGGGCTGATGAGGGGAAGGGGCCTTCCCTATCACCCTGCCGCTGCTGGCTACAGTGGCTGACGCTATCCACTGAGCCAAACTGGTCATGGCGGTGCTTAAAAGTTTATATTTTGACTTTAAACAGATGTCAGTTTTTATGCAGATATTTTACTGCATGTGTCTGTCTGTCTTTGAGATAAGAGGGTCTTAGTAGTCCTGTTAGATTCATAAATAGTCTTTGTACTTAATGTGTAATTCTTGTTTGAATGACAGGCTAGGCAGCACAAATGCAAATCTCTTGCTTTAAAATAAATGTTCTTCTAGCTCTAAAATGGTTTTGTTCTTTTTGTTTGATTATAAATTATGCTGATGATGACATGTGTTTGTTTTTTTGCCTTGAATTAGGACAAAGTTGATAGTATCCAGTTTTGTAACAATGGTGATCGGTAAGTGTGCTTTTATTTGTGGGTATGTATTTATTTTTTTATTTTTTCTTTTTCTTTTTTTTCTTTTTCCCCCAGCTTGTGTGGAGGGGAACGATCAGACTTAGACAGCCGTGCTAAGCCAGACAGAGACCTCCATGTTTATGTAGGATCACTGCAATTTGTAGACAAAGGCATTTTTCATTTGTCTACATGGTTAGTATGTGCAGGTTCCATTATTTGTGGGTATGTATTAGGTATACATGCTGTGCTGTGTATTAGTATAGCTCCGTATTACTGTATGTTGCAGGTACTTATTAGTAAATAAATAGAGGTGGGCAAAAGTAGGTGTACAGTGGTTTATATGGAAAAGATATGCAGGCTGTGCTGCTTATTACAATAGCTGTGTTAGCTGTTCCTGTACTCCCAATTCTGAGCCTATGCTTGCCAACCCCTGTATGAATGAAAAGGGTCTGGGGCAGTGGGAAACATGTGAAATATAAGTTTTAAAATTGTAGTTTCGGCTGTCTCCTGTATCTCCTTTAGTTTACATCAGCTAATTTTTCTTTTCCCCCCCAAACTGCATGAGGATTGCTAGCATAAGATCTTAAAAAAAAAACCTAGGAAGGACATGAGTCCTATAGCAATCTTGTATTAATCATGTCTTTTATTTTCTATATTTTGAACATTAGCTAAATTTTTGATTTACAGAAAAATTAGGTGAAATTTCTTGTTTGAGTAGTTAAATCTTTTCTTATCAATGACTGTGCTGTATCCTGCAATGAAATTATCACTTAAATTATATATATTTTTGTGATTCCCAGTGTTTCTCAAGTGCCTTTCCTAATCTGCAGTTTTTAACATGTGTTAAAAGATTATTTTTACACACTTGCCAGCATGAACTAATTTGAGTTTAAGAATTAAGATGCGTAGAATGGAGCTTTTGCTCCTACTGATTTTCCCAAATGGCCTTTATTTTTCCTATTTTATCCCTACAGGTGCTGTTGTCTTCTCAAAACTCAGTCTGTTTGACAAGCTATTGATTGAGTTTGAAATGTGCTTTATTTCATAGAGCCAGGCAAATCGCAGCAACCCAGATTTTTTTCAGTTTAGCTTTGTCTTCTGGCTTAACACCTATAGATTCATCTGTAGTCAAGATAACCATGTTAAAATTTATTTTTGCTTTGATTTTAACTGTAACTGTTGGTGGCATGTATATGAGTGTGAGGTCTCTTATGTGTGTTTTAAGGTTTTTAAGTGGTAGCAGAGATGGAACAGCACGGATTTGGAGATTTGAGCAGTTAGAGTGGAGAAGCATTTTGTTGGATATGGCTACTAGAATCTCAGGGTAAGTTGAGATGGTTTGTTTAAATGGGTACATCATAAGTACTTGGTCTCTCCCTGGTTTGTTGATTGCTTTGTTCAGGGGACTGGAGATACCTCCTGCCTTGAAGAGCTACGATCGAAGGGAATGGCTACTCCTGCATGTCTGATTCAGATACTTAAATCTCATGTAGCCAAAAGAATGTGTTCTTAACATTTACGTAAGAAAGAACACATAGTTATTCTACTGTTTCTTAAAACATTGACTTTTTCTTAGATATTGCATTTAAAACCACCTATAATTAAAAAAAAAAATTTTAAATTGATTTTAGAGAGGGAGAGATAGAAACATCAATGATGAGAATCATTTATTGGCTGCCTCCTGCACATCCCCTACTGGGGATTGAGCTCACAATCGAGGCATGTGTCCTGACTGGTTCATAGGTTGACACTCAACCACACTAGCTAGGCCACCTATAATTTTAAAAAATTATAGAAATATCTCAGGTATGCCCTGGCTGGGTAGCTTGTTGATTAGATCACCATCCCTACATGCCACAGTTGCAGGTTTGATCCCCTGTCTGGGCATATACAAGAATCAACCAATGAATGCATAAATAAGCAGAACAAGAAAATCCATCTTTCTCCCTCTCTCTCTTTCTTCCTGTCCTTCCCTCTCCATTCTTCTCCCTTTCTCTCCTTTCCTCACACTTCCTTTCTCTAACACTTTTTTTTGCCAAGGGCCATTTGGATATTTATTCAGGTCATACAGAATTACCAACTTAAAAATTAGCCTGCTGCTGCCGAAACCGGTTTGGCTCAGTGGTAGAGCGTCGGTTTGCGGACTGAAAGGTCCTGGGTTCGATTCCAGTCAAGGGCATGTACCTTGCTTGCGAGCACATCCCTGGTAGGGGGTGTGTAAGAGGCAACTGGTCGATGTTTCTCTTTCATCGACGTTTTTAGCTCTCTATCTCTCTCCCTTCCTTTCTGTAAAAAATCAAAATATATTAAAAAAAAAAAAAAAAAGTTAGCCTGCCGTATTTGGTCAAATACTTAATTTACCTACCCCTAATGGCTTGGCAGGGCCAGACCAAATGATTTTTAAAAAAAATATATTTTATTGATTTTGTACAGAGAGGAAGGGAGAGAGAGAGAGAGTTAGAAACATCGATGAGAGAGGGTCATGGATCAGCTGCCTCTTGCATACCCCCTACTGGGGATCTGCCCGCAACCAAGGTATATGCCCTTGACCAGAATCGAACCCGGGACCCTTCAGTCCCCAAGCCGACGCTCTATCCATTGAGCCAAACCGGTCCTGGCCCAAATAATTTCTTAGGCCTTATATGGTCCCTAGGCAGATGTTCCCCACCCCTGCTTTAAAATCACTGGAAAAAATAAACCACCCAAACAACCCAAGCATATCATGCACAAATTTTACTTTTCTGTAGATAAGATTTTTGGAATTAAAAAAAGAATTGCTATAGTAGGGTGACAATATAGTCAGTTTCTCTGACTATATTTTATAGAGAAACTTGGCGTATCGCTTTCATAAAGGCTGTAGTGCTTTGCAGACATATGTATCAAAGACTATACCATGGGATCATAGGAACAGTTTATAGGGAACTATAAATGAGATGAATACAGTCTTGTTTACAGTTTAGCAAACTGTCTGTCAGGCACTTTTCTAGATATTGGATATGAAGATGAAAGTGCCCGAAGGTCTGCCTTTATTTAGTCTGCGTCTGAATCCTCTCTTACTTTGGGTTTTGCCCTAATCTGTTTGTAGATAATCTGTTAAGGTTCACATCTGTTGGACCCTCTATAGCACATGTGTCAAACACAAGGCCCGCGGGCCAAATCCGTCCCGCCAGGCCTTCCAATGTGGCCCGCACCGCGCTGTCATCACTGGACTCCGCTGCGTTTCCATCACAATGACAGTTTATGACTGTTCAGTAAACCATTCGGCCCGCGATTTAGGCTGGATTTTAGATTTTGGTCCCTTCTCTGATTGAGTTCGACACCCCTACTCTATAGAGTTGGCAAGGGAGGGATGTGAACTTGATTTTGGTACAGATACGGAATTGTATACACACTGTATGTAGTCTACCACCCAGTGAATTTACACATTGTGCATTTTTTCTTAGGGACTTAACCTCCGAAGAAGAAAGGTTTATGAAACCCAAAGTAACAATGATAGCTTGGAATCAGAATGATAGCATTGTTGTCACAGCTGTGAATGATCATGTTCTCAAAGTGTGGAATTCTTATACTGGACAACTACTTCATAACTTGTTGGTAGGTAGTTCTTATCCTCCTATCTAATAAAAGGGTAATATGCAAATAGACCAAATGGCAGAACAACCAATCAAAGTGTAATATGCTAATGATATGCTAAGACTGCTCAACTGCTCACTATGATGTGCACTGACCACCACGGGGCAAATGCTCCAACCAGTAGGTTAGCTTGTTGCTGGGGTCCGGCCGATAGGGACTGAGCAAGATGGGCCAGACATGCCCTGGAGCCCTCCCTCGGGCCCTCCCTGGCCCAATCATGCACTGCTGGGCTCCCTCAGCCTGGCCTTTGCTTCTCACACTCCAGGACCACTGGGGGGATGCCAGTTTCAGTCTGATCCTGCAGGCCACTCCCCTTGGGAGGGTGCCAGATGCAGGACTCATGGCTGGCGACCATGGCGAGCCTCTCCCCATCAGGGCTGATTGGGTGTGAGCCCGTGGCAGGCACAGTGGGGCCGCCAGGATGAGCGGGAGCGGCAGGTGGTAGGAGCTGCAAGTGGTGTTGGACTGTGGGTTTCGTTCAATCCCTGCAGACTACCCAGAGGGACCCCACCCGTGCATGAATTTGTGCACCAGGCTTCTAGTTAAATATAACAAATCATGATATTTTGAACTATGATTTTATTTTTAAAGCTATGGAATCATATATACAAATTTCTATTTATTTGATTTATATTATCAAATAAATAGAAATTTGTATATATACTAATATAAGTTACTGTAATTGATACATTTTTGAAAAGTCCTTATATACTAACAAATGGATTTTTAATTAGAAACTTCTAATTTGCAACCCCCCCCCTTCCTTAACTGTATGGCTTTGTTGACTACAGGGACATGCTGATGAAGTGTTTGTTTTGGAGACACATCCCTTTGATTCCAGAATTATGCTATCTGCAGGACACGATGGCAGCATATTTATATGGGATGTTACAAAAGGCACCAAGATGAAACATTACTTTAATATGGTAAGTTAAGTACAGGTTATTTTCATGCATGCTTGAGTTTGTTTCCAGTACTTAGATTGTAAATAAAGTTCAGCCAGAAACACATCTGCCTGTTTTGGCAGTTTATACTTCTAAAAATCAAGGTACTTAAAACCTCATAAATATCTGACAGCCATACATATATACATACATACATGAAATTCTCTGTATAACTGTTTCACATAAGGGAAAGATTTTCAAAATTATCTATTTAATTTTGTGTGTATAGGTGAATGTGACTGTTTGTGTTTAAATTGTTAAAATTATGGTAATTATACACAGTCTGAGACGTCACATGCAGCATTACAAATTTTGCATGGTAGTCAGTCATATTAGTAGAAAGTTTAAACTCCAGAAAAGTATTGATTTTATTAATCTTTCATTATTTACCTTATAGATTTTTAGTCAATAACCTCTTGTTACAAGTTCAAAGTTTATGAATGTGCTTGTCATTCACATAGCAGAAATAAAACCTTCACTTTGGATTGGTTTATGATCCTTTATTCAGTCATTTTGAGGACTAACTTTTAGAACATCTTTCAAGATTTCTTTTAGGCTAGTGGTATCCAAAGTGAATGTCAGCCTTGAGCTGGTGGCTCAGTGGGTTGGAGCATTGTCCCGTACACCACAAGGGGCAGGTCGGTTCCTGGCCGGGCACGTACCCAAGTTTAGGGTTGGATCCCCGGTTGGGGCGCCTGCGGTAGGCAACCAGTTGATGTTTCCCACATCCGTATCTCTCTTTTTCTCCTTCTCCCTCCCTTCCTCCTGCCCCTTCCCCCTTTCTCTGTCTAAAATAATTTTTTTAAAGTTCTTTTCTGAAAATAAAAATTGACATGCTGGATGAAAAATTTGTCTTAACATTTTTTTTTCTACAAGTGATATATCATAGCAAGCTATCAACACAAAAACAGTTAATACAGCAAAGCACTTGCATACACTTGGGCATAACTTTGTTTCTTTGTTAGCATGGGCCAAACTTTTATTCAGTAATGAATGCGCTTTTTCCTGTGTTTCCCAGATCGAAGGACAAGGGCACGGAGCTGTGTTTGACTGTAAGTTTTCACAGGATGGACAGCACTTTGCCTGTACGGACTCTCATGGGCACCTTCTGATATTTGGGTTTGGATGCAGCAAGCCATATGAAAAGGTCATTTTAAGTATTTTCTTATAGCGGGCAAATTAAGTAGTTCTGAAGGATATTTTGAAAATAGGGTGTTAATTTCATTGTTTTTTCTAATTACAATTAACTGCTTAGTATTTGTTTTCCTCTAACATGTATAAACTTCAAAATGTCAATCTGTAAATTTCCTTTTTCTACTTTTTTTTGTTTAAACTTCCCTTTTCTAGATTCCTGAACAGATGTTCTTCCATACCGACTATCGACCACTGATTAGAGATTCTAATAATTATGTCTTAGATGAGCAAACTCAGCAGGCTCCTCACCTTATGCCTCCACCATTCTTGGTAGATGTAGATGGAAATCCTCATCCAACTAAGTACCAGAGATTAGTACCAGGCCGAGAAAATTCTGCCGATGAACATTTGGTTCCACAGCTAGGCTATGTGGCAACAAGTAAGTGCAAAGCCCTTTTTAATGTAATGTTTATCATTTATCTCTAGATACATATTATTGTTTTGAAGCAATTGAGGCTTAAGTTCTGGATCTCATATTCATTTACCCAGAAATTAAAAATATATATATATATTTTTTTTTTATTGATTTTTTTACAGAGAGGAAGAGAGAGGGATAGAGAGTTAGAAACACTGATGAGAGAGAAACATTGATCAGCTGCCTCTTGCACACCCCCTATTGGGGATGTGCTCGCAACCATGGTACATGCCCTTGACCGGAATTGAACCTGGGACCTTTCAGTCCGCAGACTGACGCTCTACCGCTGAGCCAAACCGGTTTCGGCCAGAAGTATTTTAATATGTATTTTCTAAGAACAAAGACATTCTCTTATGTAATCATAAACAATAATCAAAAGCAGCTTTTGTCCGATACTTTAATGCCTGTTACAGCTTTTTAAAATTTTTTTTTGTTGATTTCAGAGAGGAATGGAGAGGGAGAGAGAGAGAGAAAAATCAATGATGAGAGAGAATCATTGATCGGCTGCCTCCTGCACATCCCCCACTGGGGAATGAGCCTGCAACTTGGGCATGTGCCCTTGACTGGAATTGAACCTGGGACCCTTCAGTCCACAGGTTGACACTATATCCACTGAGCAAAACCAGCTAGGGTGCCAATGTAATTTTAATTGTAGATGTCCCCCCCCATTTGTGTAAATTATGATTATGTTGATGATATTGAATTTGCAGGTGATGGAGAGGTAATTGAACAAATTATAAGCCTACAAACTAATGATAATGGTGAAGGAAGCCCAGAGCCCAGTGTTCTTGATGGAATGATAAGACAGTTGCAACAGGAGCAAGATGAGAGGATGGGAGCTGGTCAGGATAATAACCCAAATGTACTTCCAAATGGGGAAGAAACACCACGAAGAGGTAATAAATAATGAGATATATTTTGCCTTAATATGGCTGATTGAAAGTGAAGCATAAATGAAGTCATTGTCAGGTACATATGTGAAAAACTTGAAGTTAGCATGGTATTTTTTTCAATTTAAGTATTAATCTGTAGGTAGCTTTATTAGGTATAAAGTTGATATGCTAACAAACCTCTTTTTTTAACCAATATTTTTTCTTATCGGAGAATTTTCTCTTTAATTTTAATTAATTAATGTATTTTAATCCTCACTTGAGGATATATTGTTTTAAAAATTTATTTGAGAGAGAGCAACATTGATCACTTGCCTCCCACATGTACCCCGACTGGGAATTGAACCCAAAATCTGGGCTTGCGCCCGACTAGGAATTGAATCTACAACCTTTCGATATTATGGGCGATGCTCCAGTCAACTGAACCACTCGTCCAAGGCTAATTTTTATTTTGTAATGGCAAAATAATTTCATAGAAATCTACTCTGAAAAAATTAATTTATAGCTAGTGAAGGCATTCTTTTGTTTGTAGAAGGAAACTTTAAATATATTTGCCAAGTGTACTTTCTTATCTTTTTATTATTCAGTACTGACCTCAGTGCTGAACTACATGATATAAAAATCAGGCTGCTCCAAAGACAGTCACTGCAGGCAGGGAATCAGTGAAAGATGGCATTGGCATATGCAGATCCTGCTAGGATCAATTTATATTTTGTCTTTACCATCTTTGTAGTGTTTGGACCACTGTTTTTTTTTTGTTTTTTTTGTTTTAGGGGGGGAATGTTGGGGGTCTGTTTCTCATTTATAGCTGTGTGACTGACATAGGCCCAAGGTGTTATTTCCCATGTGGACATGACACCACGCCTTTAGATTACTGATTTCACAACTTGTCCGGCTGCACAGTTTCAGCTCATTTACTGTCTTCTTTGTTTCTAGCCCAGTGACTGCAAGTCCATGATTCATTTAAAACTTTTGGGGTTGTCATGCTGTTCGTGGACTAGGACTCTAATAAATACTAATGAGGAATTAAGGTTTATTTCCTGGAAATGTATAGCATAAGGCTTTATATCTTTCAATTTTTAAAAAAATATATTGATTTTTTTTTACAGAGAGGAAGGGAGAGGGATAGAGAGATAGAAACATCAATGAGAAAGAAACATGGATCAGCTGCCTCCTGCACACCCCCTACTGGGAATGTGCCCGCAACCAAGGTACATGCCCTTGACCAGAATCAAACCTGGAACCTTTCAGTCCGCAGGCCAATGCTCTATCCACTGAGCCAAACTGGTTTCGGCTTCAATATTTTATTTTATTTTATATTTTTTAAATACATTTTATTGATTTTTCACAGAGAGGAAGGGAGAGGGATAGATAGAAATATCGATGAGAGAGAATCATTGATCAGCTGCCTCCTGCACACCTCTTACTAGGGATGTGCCTGCAACCAAGGTACATGTCCCTGACCGGAATTGAACCCGGGACCTTTCAGTCCGCAGGCCGACACTTTCCACTGAGCCAAACCGGTTTCGGCACTAGTACGTTTTTATTTTCTTTCTTTTCTTTTTTTTTTTTTTTGTAAATCAATCTTTATTGTTCAAATTGTTACAAAGGTTCCTCATTTCTTCCCCCCTCCACCAGGTTCCCATCCCACCCTCCGCCCCCTCCCCATCCCCCATTGTCCTCATCCATAGGTGCAGTTTATGTTCAGTCTCTTCCTCCCTCCCTTTCCCCGATTGTAAATTCCTTTTCAGATAGTAAATCAGTTACTTAGCATTTTCTCATATCAATAATACCACCACATGCCCAATGATACATTTCACACAAAAGACATTTCCAAATAGGTCAACCAGCCTCATCCAGGCCCCACCCAAGGCACTCACAGATCAATACCCCAGCCCTATACTAACTCAACACATCCAGATCTAAGCCTTCATCACTTGATTCAGCAGACCCTCAAGTTCCGACAAAAGTTTCCAGCCATGTCTGAGAGGCAGCCGTGGGGCAGGGGCAGGCGAAGAGCGAGCTGTTCCGGGCCTGGCTGTTTCGGGCCTGGCCTCTGTTGCTCTGGTTCGTTCCACAACCAGCTGCTCCGGGTCTGGTCACCGCCGCTCCCGACCTAGTTGCTCTGGACCTGGCAGCTGCTGCTCCGGGCCTGGCCACACCAGACCCGGCTGCTTCGGGCCTGTCGGCACTAGTACATTTTAATATAAATGTTTAATGCCATTTTAGTGGGTGAACCAATTTAATGCAAAGTGGTTCATTTCATAGGCAAACAGAACGCTGTGTGTAGAAGAATGAGGAGTTGTGCTTACTCAAGTGGATTTTACCCTAGGCCAGAAGAGCAGGTGTAGCTTGCGTAGAATTTGTAGCCTCCCTCAGGAAAGGCCCCCAGTTTCTCTGTTGCATTAGTAGGAGGAACCTCTTCACTCTGTTTTAGGAAAACCAGCACTTTGCCTGGGACTCCCTCCTCCCTCAGACAGGTCTCCATCCTCTGTGACTTCTAGCTATTGGTTGTCCTGCCTCCTGTGCCCAGCTGATCAGCTCTGCGCAGGCTCAGAGCTCACTGTTGTCTGTATTGCCCTGTTACCACTCACGCAGCTTCATTTCAAGTGTTGATAGCATTTTCCCACTTTGCAGATTTGTGGATTTTTAAATTTTTTTTTTAATTTTAATTTTTAATATATTTTATTGATTTTTCACAGAGAGGAAGGGATAGGGATAGAGAGCTAGAAACATCAATGAGAGAAACATCGACCAGTTGCCTCCTGCACACCCCCCATTGGGGATGTGCCCGCAACCAACGTACATGCCCTTGACTGGAATCAAACCTGGGACCTTTCAGTCCTCAGACCGACGCTCTATCTACTGAGCCAAACCCGTTTTTGGCACATTTGAGGATTTTTAATACCTACTCTGGCAGCTGCCTGCCTGAATGGCTCACATTATCTTTGAGGTTGCAATTACTTTTGTTAGAGCTCTTGTTACAAAGCCTTTGCAGTTTGAAGAGTCTGTCTTCAATGCTTATTTTTCTGAAAAGATGTTTTTGTTTTTTTTTTAAATATATTTTATTGATTTTTCACAGAGAGGAAGAGAGAGGGATAGAGAGTTAGAAACATCGATGAGAGAGAATCATCGATCAGCTGCCTCTTGCACACCCTGTACTGGGGATGTGCCCGCAACCAAGGTACATGCCCTTGACCGGAATCGAACCCGAGACCTTTCAGTCGGCAGGCCAACGCTCTATCCACTGAGCCAAACCGGTCCCGGCTGAAAAGATGTGTTTTAGTGTGTGGTTTTGAATAAGACAAGGTTTTTAGGAATGCAAATAAAATGTTATAATAGAAATGCTGATACATTAAAGAATTTCAGAAAGTCTAGTAAAAATGGAAATTGAGATTGATAGTTAATGTTTGTTCTATAGTCTACACTTTGATCTCAGTCACATGAGGATTCTTTTTTCCAGAGTTTTTTTTAGTAGATATTTTTTATTTCTATCTCAGAAGGAATGCTTATTATGTGTTAAATGCACATAGAGTGAACTTTGTTTTGGAATCATTTCTTGACAATTTTCCCCTAGGTTTTAGAAGACCAAGCTTAGACATCCAGTCGCCTCCAAATATTGGTCTGCGTCGGAGTGGACAAGTAGAAGGTGTTCGCCAGATGCATCAGAACGCTCCCCGTAGTCAGATCGCTACAGAGCGGGACCTGCAGGCGTGGAAACGGAGAGTGGTTGTACCAGAGGTACCACTAGGCATATTTAGGTTTGTTTTAGGATATCTATTAATATTGTTTTTATGTATGAAAATATATCTATGTGGTTATTTGCATATCTTAATCCATTAGTGGTGCAAATAATCATATAAATATATTTTAGTAATGGGTTGGAGTCTATTTTATTTTTATTTATTTATTTTTAAATATATTTCTTTATTGATTTCAGAGAGCGGGAGGGAGAGGGGGAGAGAGAAACATCAATGATAAGAGAGAATCATTGATTGGCTGCCTCCATGCCCCCTACGGGGGTTGAGCCCACAACCTAGGCATGTGCCCTTGGCCAGAATTGAATGTTGGACCCTTGTCTGTAGGCTGACACTCTGTCTACTGAGCCAAACCGGCTAGGGCTGGAATCTATTTTAGTTGTGGTAAAAAAATGTCAGACTTGTTCTCTAACTCTTTACTATGGTAAATTTTTTTTATAGCCAATCTTATTTCATCTACACAAATACCCACTTTCTTCATTATTTTGAAATCTTAAACATCATTTTGTTGAAAGCATGTCAGTATGTATTTCTAAACAATAAAAAGTTGTCTTAAATATAAGTTTATGCCATCATTATCTTAAAAACAACAAACAGTTCTTCAGTAGAACTAAATAGTATTTAAATTTCCAATTGTCTCAGCTCAGATGTCATAAATGTTTTTGGTTCTTTTGTAAGACTTATTTTTTGAAACGTAGGAAGCAAATACTGTTCTCATTAGTATCTAAAATCTTTCAGTATTTTGTCATAGTTGTGCCTCCAAGACACAAATATCTTGAAGATAATTTTGTATAAGTGTTTCCTTCATGTGTTTAGCAAGAAGTGTTTCAAGGTATGGGGGGGGGGGGATATGGTATATGTACAAAGATAATTTAATTAAAAAAAAGTGTTTCAGTGATTGGTAGAATAATATTAGATACTACTTATAAATTGTACAGTGACTTTGAGAATATTTAAAATTACAATAAAGTAGTGAAAAACTAAATCTGGAAGTAGGATGAGAAATAAAGAAAATCACCATTGTGTATGTAGAATGCTATAATTAAGCCTTAAAGTGTCTGAGTTGTATGATTATCAGACCTGAAAGTGTCTTTTTGGGATATTTTTTGTTTTCAAAACCAAGGGAAACAAGGATATCAGGAGTGAAAGACCTGCAGAACATTAAACAAGCATTTGTTCTCTTAACATAAAGGAAGACTGGAACTAGCTGAAGGCTGGAATACATGGTTCTAATTAATCAGGATCTCAGGTTCCTCTGTTTCTAATCTCCATCTCAGAGTATGGATTTTAATCTTAAGGTCAACTCAAAAGTTCAAGAGAGCTGGTCTTTATATTCTGGCCACCCTATATCTGCCTCTGTGAGGAGGCTGAGATTTAGGCAAGAAGAAGGAAGAGAGGCAGAAGGTAAAATGGACATCCTTGATGTCAGCAAGCAGCCTTAATGACTCCATATGACATGTCTGCTTATAGTGCATTGACCAGAATATCATCATATGGCCATACTAAGCTACAGAAGAGACTAGGTAATATCACTTAGAGCAACAAAGCGTCTAGGTAAAAGTTGAGATTCTGTTTCTAAGGAAGAAAGGGGAATGGGATTGAGAGTCAGCTGTCTGACACAAAACAATTTTTTCGAAGAAGAGTGTTGCTCTTTCTAGGACTGTATTCTAGCATACACATGAGAGTTTATGAAAAAGATACTGAGTGATACAATAGTGGTCAGTGCCCTTGACAACAATCCTTATAGTGGAAAGCAGGGCAAATTTTTACATAATATTGGAGTGTCATTTAGTAAGGATCAAGAGAAATTAAAAATCTGACTTTTGCCTATAAAAGTAGTATATATCTACTGTGAAAAATTTAGATCAGTGGTTCCCAATGTGGGACACATGCCCCACAGGGGGGCAATTCGAGAACGAATTATTAACAGCGAGTTTTTTGCATTTCTTATGGTCCTAGGGGCCGCATATACAGTATATAACTATATATTGTGACATATTTATGCATTTCAGCTCTCTATTATATGTATTAAAGCTTTATTTGCTATTTTTTTAATATCACTTCATATTTTTGTGTTTTTCTAACAATATCTTAGTGACTTCTTCCTCAGTACTTCAACTGCCTTTTTGTTCTCTTATTTTTCTCTCTTGTGGCTGCCATGTTCTTTGCAAGCTTGTTTAGACCAAGTTAATGGCCTTTTTGGCTTCTTCCACATGAATAGGAGTTCACTTTTTGGATAATAAGAATGATATGTCACAGGGAGGGCATCAGGGTTTCAGAGATGCTTAGGGTGGGGCATGGCCAAAAAAAGGTTGGGAACCACTGATTTAGATAATAGGTTAGTATAGCTTGACTTAAGTTTTGCTATAACCTTAGATGATTTCTAGAATCACGATGATTATTTTTTTCTGTTAATATCCTCTACTTATTCATCAGTTCACTAATATAACTGGATAATTATATTTGCAGGAAGTTGGAAGATTTCAGAATAGAGAAAGGTGAAGAGGAAAGAAATCTTTATGTAATTGGAAGAAAAAAGACTCTTCAGTTCTCACAAAAGGTAACTTAAATTCTATTTTTCTTAGGAATAAGCAAATTAGAAATTAAACTGAAATTTGTGTCTTTTGATCACTGAGAATAGTAGTAATTTTCACCTGAAATAGAACAATATATTTTGCTTAAAGCCTTCTATTTGGGATTTAAAATAGTAGACATAAGGCTATACAGCTATTAGGAAAGAGAAATAGTGTGAAAACTTGAGGAAAGTAGTCTAATGCCTAATACTATTAATAGATTCTAGAAAATTACTGTCTAGTGACCACTCAGGCCAAGAACTAGGACATTACTAGCCCATCAAAAACATTTGTGTCCATCCCCAATCACTGCACTCTCTTTTCTTCCACGGGGAACCAACTGTCTTACTTTTAAAACTATTGGTTAGTTTTGGCTATTTCTGAAGTTTATCCAAATCATGCATTTATAAAAATTTTAGATGTTACAATGGTTTGTGACCCTCCAAACTCAAGAAAATTTTATTCCTTAGTATTTAATTTCTTTATATAGAGTTTCTTGAACATTATATGGATAGCATTAACATGGAGTTCATGGAAGATACTCACAAAATGTATGTAAGATTAGTGCTACAAAACTGGTGAAAATGATTGTGTGTTTGCAGGATTTTCCCAGAATTGGTCATCAGGTTGGGTTTTAGTTCCTTGGGATTACTGTCCTTAATTCTTCATAGCCTTGTTAGATATATAATGCCCTTCAAATGATTTTAAAAAATGATTTTATTAAATTTTTTAAGAGAGAGGAAAGGAGAGGGAGAGAGACATCTATGTGAGAGCAGAACATTAATTGCCTACCTCATGAACATCCCCTACAAGGATTGAGCCTGCAACCCGGGCATGTACCCTGACCAGGAATTGAACCAGTAGCCAGTTGATACACCAGATCATCCCTAACCAATTGAAACACACCAGCCAGAGCTCAAACTGATTAAAAGAATTTTTTTTTTTTTTTTTACAGATTACTTGTTTTTCTGAGTGATAGATTTGATCCAATCGTGTTTGTACATTATTAGCTATGAAACTCAATACTACTTTTGTTTTTTGTCACCTCCTAGGCATGTTTCTTTTTAAAAAAATAAATCTTTATTGTTCAACACAAATGTGTTCCTCCCTCTCGCCCTCAATTGCTCCCCTCCACCAGGTTCCCACCCCATCCTCTGTCCTTTTCCCATCCCCCACTGTCCTCATCCATAGGTGCACAGTTTTTGTTCAGTCTCTTCCCGCACCCCCACTACCCTTTTCCCTGAGAATCGTCAGTCCACTCCCCTTCCATACCTCTGATTCTATTATATTCACCAGTTAATATTGTTCATCAGGTTTTTTAATTCCCTTGGTTTTTAGATTCACTTGTTGATAGTTATATATTTGTTGTTTATAATTTTTATCTTTTATTTTCTTCCTTTTCCTAAAGAACCCCCTTCAGCAATTCATATAATTCTGGTTTGGCGGTGATGAACTCCTTTAGCTTTTTTTGATTTGTGAAGCTCTTTATCTGGCCTTCGATTTTGAGTGATAGCTTTGCTGGGTAGAGAATTTTTGGCTGTAGGTTCTTGCTATTTATCACCTTGAATATTTCTTGCCATTCCCATCTGGCCTGCATGGTTTCTGTTGAGAAATCAGCTGACAATCATATGGGTGCTCCTTTATAGGTAACTCCTTGCTTTTCTCTTGCTGCTTTTAATATTCTCTGTCTTTTGCTCTTGGAATTTTTTTATTTTTTTATTTTTTATTATTTTTAATATATTTTATTGATTTTTTACAGAGAGGAAGGGAGAGAGATAGAGAGTTAGGAACATCGATGAGAGAGAGTCATTGATCAGCTGCCTCTTGCACACCCTCTACTGGGGATATGCCTGCAACCAAGGTACATGCCCTTGACCGGAATCGAACCCCGGACCTTTCAGTCCCCAAGCCGACGCTCTATCCATTGAGCCAAACCAGTTTCGGCTGCTCTTGGAATTTTAATTATGATGTGTCTTGGTGTGGTCCTCCTTGGATTCCTTTTGTTTGGGGTTCTTTGGGCTTCCTTGATTTGTAAGTCTATTTCTTTCCCTAGGTGGGGGAAGTTTTCTTTCACTATTTCTTCTAGTATTCTTTGGGTGTCTTGCTCTCTGTCATCTTCTGGGATCCCCATAATTCTGATGTTGGTTCACTTGAAATTGTCCCAGAGGTTTCTTACACTATCTTCAACTTACTGGATTCTCTTATCTTCTTGCTTCTGTGGAGGAGTGTCCTCTGACTCTTTCTGTTCTAAATCTTTGTCTTGATTCTTGCCATCTCCATTCTATTTTTAGGACTCTGTGTAATATTTTTTATTTCAGACAATGTTTTCTTCATTTCTAGTTGATCTAGTTGATCCCTTTTCATATCCTCATAGGTCTCATTTATTTTATCGGGCTTTTTTAGGATATTCTTGAATAACCTTATAACTGTAGTTTTGAAATCAATGTCTAATCTTTTCTTTTCCTTCTTCTCCTTCCTTTGTGTCCTGCTTCTTGTCTGCATTTTAGTTGTTTCCCTGATTTGATGGAATAGTTTTGTGTGCTAGGTGTTCTGGTAGAGCCCAGTAGCACAGCCTTCCCAGTTACCCTTGGTGGACAGTCTTGATGCAGCTCTTTGTGGGCTGTGTGAGCAGTCTTGTTGTTAAGCTTTGCTTATTGTTGGTATCACTGGGGAGCGTAGATCTACAAGCCAATTGGCTGTGAGGATCAGCAGTGTCTCATCTAGGAGGGCTTCTGTACTCCACTTGGATGGGGCGGGGTCTCGGGGTGGCGCAGGCAATCTTTGGTTACCTGTCAGTCTCTCCTTAGAAAAGTCCTGTTCGCGGTGAGTTTCGGAAGATTGGTTGTAGGTGCACGCACCTCTTTGGTAAAGGCGCAGACAAGATTTGGATTCCAGCCAGTACCTCCTTAGAGAAAGCCAGCCTCTGGGAGAGCTTCTGTGCTCAGCTTGGATGGGGCGGAGTCTCGGGTTGATACAGACAAGCTTTGTTTTCCCTTCGGCTCCTCCCCAAGTCCCTCAGTAATGGCCTCTGGCTTCACACACCTCCGAGAGATCTCTGCCTGCTGCCTGACAGTCTGGCTTCTCCCTGACTAGGGCCGTCTATCAGAGCAATAGGGTGGTTCTGTTTTCCTTTCGAACAAGAAAGCCAGCTGTGAGTTAGCTGTCCACCCTCTCTGCGCGCCGGGAGTAAGCCAGTAGCGAACTCAGCAGGGCCCGCCCTCTCCGAGCACCGGTATTAAGCCAGCGCCTTTTCTCGCGCACAGTTCTCTGTACCTTCACAGTTCCTGAGGTTCAGCGTGCCTTCTCTCTCCTTCCCAGATGGCAGAGCCTCCTCTCAGCTAGCCGTCCGGCACTTCAGGGCAATGCCTCCCCTGTTTTCCAGTTCTAAATTAAAATTTGTTGTGGTAGGCTGCATTCGGGTGTCTACCCTATGCCGCCATCTTGGTTTCTCCTCAATACTAGTTTTTGCTTTAACAAAAAGTAGTACTGACAAATTAAGGAAAATTTAATTCATTTTTAATTTTTTAAATTTTTTTATTTTTTAGATAGAACAATTATTTTATTCGAGGGGGAAATGTAGTCAGTCAAATGGCTGTAGTTTTTTTTTTTTAAATATATTTTATTGATTTTTTACGGAGAGGAAAGGAGAGGGATAGACAGCTAGAAACATCAATGAGAGAGAAACATCTATCAGCTGCCTCATGCACACCCCCTACCAGGGATGTGCCCGCAACCAAGATACATGCCCTTGACCAGAATCAAACCTGGGGCCCTTTAGTCCACAGACTATGACGCTCTATCCATTGAGCCAAACCGGTTTCAGCTGGCTATAGTTTTTTTTTTTTTTTAAATATATTTTATTGATTTTTTATAGAGAAGAAGGGAGAGAGATAGAGAGCTAGAAACGTCGATGAGAGAGAAACATCGACCAGCTGCCTCTTGCACACCCCCTACCGGGGATGTGCCCGCAACCAAGGTACATGCCCTTGACCGGAATCGAACCCGGGACCTTTCAGTCCGCAGACCGACGCTCTACCACTGAGCCAAACCGGTTTTGGCTGGCTATAGTTTTTTAACTGAATCGACCAGTTAACTCAGAAAACAGGCAGTCAAAACTACTTGAAGGAGTAGCTCAAACAATCCTCAAACAGATTTGTTTATTATAACCATAATCAGTATTAGATGTAATTCATTTTAAAACAGATTTGTTTATTATAACCATAATCAGTATTAGATGTAATTCATTTTAAATCAGCCATTGATATATTGAAGTGATAATACACACTATTGATTATCAAATAGGAGGCACTATGTGCAAATTTATTTGTATATTCAAGGAATATATGCTTTTATTATGTGATTTCAAATATGACTTTGGTGTTTGAGGAATATAGCTTGCCCCTTCCCCTTGCCCACCAGCATCACCTTCACTTCCCCACCCTCTCCCCGACCCTCACCCCAACCCCTTAAAATATAATCTAGCCCTGATTAACCTGGTCCTGTGTATCAAAAGGTGGTCAATTGGATTCCAGTCAGGGCACATACCTGGGTTGTGGGTTTCTTCCATTCCTGGTTGAAGATGTACCCGAAGGCAACTGATTCATGTTTCTTTCTCACATTGATATCTTTTCTCCCTCCTGCCCTTCCTCCTTCTAAGCATGCCCTTAGGTAAGGTTTAAAAAAGATTAACAAATACAATCTATTTTATTTGGCCTATGTAATTAAAAAAAAATTATTGGTGAGAGACACATTACTTGTTCTATTTACTTATGCCTTCATTGGTTGCCTCTTGTACGTGCCCTGACTGGGGATCGGACCTTGGCCTATATAGACCACACTCTTACCAACTGAGCAAACTAGCCAGGGCTATTATTTGGCTGATTTTTAAAGATTTTTTTGTTTTGATAAAAATATATTTTAAAATTTCAAGCAGAATTGAAAAGTGCTCACAACAAATCATCCACAATTTAAACTATGGACATAACTAGAGTTAATAATTTGAGGTTTATTTCAGACATAGTGACATATTTCTTAAGGTTGGTTACTACTTTGTAATATATTCACTTCTAAGATACATATTTTTAAAGTGATAAACTTTTTGGGTTATTATTTCATTCATGGTCAATAGACTTAAAGTTTTATTTGGAAAATGATAATCTACTGTGCCCAATTTAGCTATGCCTTCCAAGTATCTTAAAAGTAAAGATGCCAAGGTTAATTTTAATAGCAGATGGTCAAAATAAAAATAAAGAATATTTTCTTTTATATTTCAACTATTATTATTTGCCTGAAATATTTTTGGGAATTTGATAGAATGCCTATTTTTTTGAAATTGTATTTATTCAGAAATGATTTTCATTTGCATGTTTCTTTTATGTTACAGTCAGATTCAGCAATTTTGATGTCATCGTTTAGGCAGAGGACATGTAGGCGTAAATGTCCAAATTACAGCAGAAGAAATGTTGGACGGATTGAGTTGTCTTCTGGAAATGAGTCTTCAAGCTCTGTGAGACATGTGAGTTTATAACATTAACGTATATAAATAATCTTAAATAAATGTCGAATGTCTTACTTTGACTCTACCCTGAAATGTGTGAAAATACAGTATTCTGTAGAGGTTATAATGGAAATTTCACATTTTGAGTTTTAACAAAAATGATGCACAGAGAATGAAAAGACAAACTACGAAATTGGAGAAAATATCTGTAAAACTCATATCTGATAAAGGATTCAAAATATGCCACGAATTATAACTCAACAATAAAAAAACCCAGTTTAAAAATTGGTATAAGATCTAATAGAAAGCCCATCAAAAAAAGTAGATGGCAGATAAGCATCATATGGCATTAAGGAATTGGAAGTGAAACTGGTGAGATACCAGTTCATACCTATTACAGTGGTTTAAGTTCAAAACGCTGAGAACATTTACAAGACTTTTCATTAACTTCACTCAGATCAAGGTTTTTATTTTATTCCCCCTCATGAATCAGACTTCCTGTGATCAAAGTGAAGGTTCTCGTTCATCCGAAGAAGAAGAGTGGAAAAGTGATAGAAGAAGTGAAAGCGAAAGCGAAAGCGAGAGCGAAAGTTCTAGGTATCTGGTTTTGTTTTTGATCTTTTACCCATGTTAGTGATAGAATTGTATTTGAATGGCATTCAAGATGCAAGAGCTTGCAATTATAGAACATTGAGTTAACATTGAGTTTTTAATACATGTAAAAGGAGAAGAAAACTGGCTAACAGCTGTTTCTATGGAAAATACTTTAGGCACTTTTATTTGACTATAAATATTTGAGCTAGGAGTATAAAACACATTACTGAAAACATCTAGTCAGTCTTGGGCTGCATTAGCACAGCCCTGGCTGGATGGTTCAGTTGGTTGGATCATTGTCCCATACACCAAAAAAGGTGCGGTTTGATTTCCAGTCTGAGCACATACCTAGCTTGCAGGTTCAATCCCTTGTTGGGGTGTGTGTGGGAGGCAACAAATCTATGTTTCTTTTTCTCATTGATGTTTTTACCACCCTCTGCCCTCAGTCACACTCTCTAAAATCTATAGAAACGTGTCCTCAGGGGAGGAGTAAATAACAAAAACGACCCATTATTAAATTCATTATGTATTATGTTTTGTTTAGTTTTGCTATCCATTTCCCATGTTCACATTTGTTCCTCGTCTTGGTAAATGTCACCTTAGTCTTGATAGATGCTTTAAGCCATAATCTGGACATAATTCTCTCTTCTAAATGTATCACAAGTCCAGAAAATTTTCTTCTAAATATGATTCAAATAATCTTATTTTTATTTCCACTTATAGTATGTGGATCCACAACACCATACTGCAGTGTCTTATTTTATTTCATTACTAGAGGCCCAGTGCACGAAATTTGTGCAAGGGGCTCGGCCTAGCAGTGCCACCTTTGTCCAGAAGGTTGTCTGGAAGGTCATCTGGACGGTAGTTCGCTGTTCAGCCTTCTGGTCTAGTTAGCATATTATGCTTTTATGATGATTAAGAAAAGCTGGAGTGATTTTTAGAACACTTGTCTACTCCTAAAAACAATTTTTTTAAAAATTGTGGCAAAATGTACCTAAGAAAATGTACCATTTCTAACTGTACAATTCAGTAGTGTTAATACAGTACATTCAGTGTGTGCAACTGATCTCCAGAACTCTTTCCTCCTGTAACAGGTATACCTGTTAAATTCTTTGTTTTACCTCCATTTTCCTTTCTATTTCTATATTTAGTGTCTTTTACTTAAGCTTTTCTTGAGTTTTATCATGCAATGCTTTAAAAATTTTTTTGAATAGCTCTTTTTATAATAAAAAGCTTTTGGAATATGTGTGTTTGTGTGAGTGTGCATTATTGAGCCTGAGAGCTAAGTGGCTGGCCAATGATGGCTCCAGTAGAGGCCTTATGTGTTTTGCTTAAGCTGGTGATAGGCTGGTGGCTAATATTCTGTCTAGTTTCCTGTTTGACTTTTTATTTTTTAAATATATTTTATTGATTTTTTACAGAGAGGAAGGGAGAGAGATAGAGAGCTAGAAACGTCGATGAGAGAGAAACATCCGACGCTCTACCACTGAGCCAAACCGGTTTTGGCTCTTTCTTTAAATCTTTAACCCAAGAGCCGAAACCGGTTTGGCTCAGTGGATAGAACATCAGTCTGCGGACTAAAAGGTCCCAGGTTCAATTCCGGTCAAGGGCATGTACATTGGTTGCGAGCACATCCCCAGTTGGGGGTGTGCAGGAGGCAGCTGGTCGATGATTCTCTCTCATCGATGTTTCTATCTATCCCTCTCCCTTTCTCTCTGTGAAAAATCAATAAAATATATTTTAAAAAAAGTAAATCTTTAACCCAAGGATATTTTTTCCATTGCTTTTATAGTAGATAACAGTGAAAAGGGAGGCAGGAGAAGTGAATGAGTGGGAGAGAGAGAGAGAGAGAGAGACAGACATCAACATTAATTGGTTGCCTTTTGTATGTGCCCTAACCCCAGGGCTCGGGAAAGAACCTGCAATTCAGATATATGACCTTGACTGGGAATTGTACCCGAGACACTTGGGTGCTCAGGCTGACACTCTAACCACTGAGCATACCGGCAAGGGCCCATTTGACTCTGCTTTTTAATTTTTTTTAAATATATCTATTGATTTCAGAGAGAGAGAAACATCAGTGATGAGAGAGAATCATTGATCCGCTGCCTCCTGCATACCCCCTATGAGGGATTGAGCGTACAACCCAGGCATGTTCCCTTGACCAGAATCAAACCCATGACTCTTCAGTCCACAGGCTGACACTATCCACTGAGCCAAACAGTCTAGGGCTTGACTCTGCTTTTGCTTCTGGATGGGCTAGAACTGGTATCTCTCTTGGGTCTTCTGTCATATCTAAGAAAGTCCCTCTCTTGGCAAGAAGCTTGGCTATGCTTTCCTTGGGCTTCTCAGTGTATTCACTTAATGGTTAGTCAATCTAATGGAAATTTCTAGTCTATTATAGAGTCGGCTCCAACTTGGGCGGGGGTGTTACCTATGGTTCTGTGTGACCTCTACTGTTTTCATAACTAATTTTTAGAAGTGGAATTACTTGTCTTCCATGAGGTCTCATCTGTATTATACTTAAAAAATTTTCTCAGGCTTACCTTCTTTCCTAATTCCCCGAGTTGGTGAAGGTTTCTCTTTCTTATGATCTTTGGTCATTTCAGTATTCATTGATGGAGAGGGCCGGTTGTTCAAGTTGAAGCTTTCTGGGGTCTGTCCTTTCCTCCTCCTCTTCTCTAGGTTATAGTAATAATTTGCTATGAGGGCCTAGATTCTGGTTCCAAAGAACTTAAAATGTGTTCCTTTTCTAGTGACTCTTCATCTCGATATTCTGATTGGACAGCTGATGCAGGCATCAATTTGCAGCCTCCTTTACGAACTTCATCTCGTCGGCGTATTACTCGGTTTTGTAGTAGTTCAGAGGATGAAGTGTCTGCTGAGAATTTATCTCCTCCAAAAAGGAGACGAAAGAGAAAGAAAGAAAATAAGCCTAAAAGAGAGGTAAGAAAAATATAACTTTAGAAATAACATCTTATGCACAGTTTAAAGAGGCGTTTCTGTCCACATTTAAAATTAGAAATCTTTTTAAAATTAAAGTCTTTATTGACAATGTTACATCATCTGGAAGTAAATGTGAAATGCAAACTTATTTTTGGAAAAGCTATTTTATTATTAAATCTTCTCTTTCTAACCTGCTTTGGGTTGGACTTGAAACTTAAGCCTTTTTTAATCTGAAACTTACAGGGAAAGTTCTATTTTTCTCAGGATCCAACCCTAACATTTTTTTATTTTATTTTATTAATTCAATACTGGAAATACACTTCAAGGCATTTTTCTCTTGTTTTGCCTGATATTGCTTTGTTTTCTGTTTTTATTTGCTATGCTCTATCTTCATAGTTTTTTCCTAGCTATAATATAACTTGTCTTTACATGTACAGTGCATGTGCTCTTATTGTGCAGGTAGCTCTCAATATTTAAAGATGCCATGTCTTTGTACTGGTTGCCTGTTGCCGTATAACATGTCATCCTGAAACTTAGCTGCATAAAATAGGAAACGTATTATATCATGTTTTGATGGGTTAGTAATTTGGGAGCTGATTAGGGTATTTGGACTCATGAGGTTGCCTAATCATGGTTGGATTGCTTTGTCTGAGGCTTGATTGGGTCTACTCTAGATGATCATCTTTGAAGCTCATTCATGGGGTCGTTGGCTGGAAACTTCAGTTCCCATTGCATGAGCTTCCATAGGGCTGGCTGCTTGAGTGTCTTTTGTGATGCAAAAGCATAAGCGAAGGTTAAGCCCTGATGCCTTTTATTTCCTAGTCTTAAAGTCCAACATTGTCACTTTGGCTTTATTTTGTTTGTTAGAAGCAAGGTGAGCTCATATTCAAACGGAGGATACTTTGGAGAGTACAAGTATATAAGAATTGTGGTCATATTTTATAGTCGCCAGTCTTAAAACCACAGGCGGTTGCCTGTGGTTACTAGTCTGTGGTGAAATTCATACTGGTGGTGTCTCAGGCAGAGCAGGCTTTCTAGTGAAGAGGATTTAGGTTGGAAATTAGCTCCTTGCATAGGATATAAAACGTTATGAAGAATGTTAAAATCAAGAGATTCTAGGAAAGTGCTAGGTAGATCTAGAATGCAAACTAGTGATATGATCCTGTGTGTGTACAGGAACCAAATATGTATGACATTTCAGAACTAGTCATTAGGTGACATGTAGTAAGTAGTCATTCTGAATGGTGACATTTCTTTTATTTTTCTTTAAAAAAAATATTTTATTGCTTTTGTACAGAGAGGAAGGGAGAGAGATAGAGAGTTAGAAACATCGATGAGAGAGAGTCATCGATCAGCTGCCTCTCGCACACCCTCTACTGGTGATATGCCCGCAACCAAGGTACATGCCCTTGACCGGAATCAAACCAGGGACCCTTCAGTCCCCAAGCCGACGCTCTATCCATTGAGCCAAACCGGTCTCGGCTCTTTTATTTTTCAATCAAAGAGTGCATGCTGCTCTTTTCTCTTCTACCAAACTCTGTTTTCTTCCCCTTAGCAGAATTTGCAGAGAGCGACTCTGGCAGAGTTAACAGATAATATGGAAGATTTATATGAATGTCATCCTCCAGTTTGGATAACTGACACCACACTTCGAAAATCTCCATTTGTTCCACAAATGGGCGATGAGGTAAGAGTAATAAAATTTAAAAATATGAGTATGGAACATAAGATAGTAATGTTGCTCTTAAATTTTTATTTTTTTTTTAATGTATCCTTTTTGTAGGTTATATATTTTCGACAGGGTCATGAAGCTTATATTGAGGCTGTCAGAAGAAATAACATTTATGAACTGAACCCGAACAAGGAGCCATGGAGAAAAATGGATCTTAGGGTAAGATGATAGTATTAACATTTAGCACATGTATAATTAAATTACTTGAGCCTATTAAGGAACCTGGGAGCATATTTCATTATTATTAAAGTATCTTTATTGATTTTTAGAGAGGGAGAGGGAGAGAGAGAGAGAAACATCAATGATGAGAAGCATCGATCAGCTGTCTCCTGCACAACCCCTTCCGGGGATCAAGCCCACAACCTGGGCATGTGCCCTTGGTTGGAATCGAACCTGGGACCTTTCAATCCGCAGGCTGATGCTCTATCTCCTGACCCAAACCGTCTAGGCCCTAGGGCCATATTTCATTATTGTCTCCATTTATTTCCTATTTAAAAATATTTTTTTATTTTTAAATATATTTTTATTGATTTTTTTTTTTACAGAGATGAAGAGAGAGGGATAGAGAGTTAGAAACATCGATGAGAGAGAATCATTGATTAACTGCCTCTTGTACACCCCCTACTGGGGATGTGCCCGCAACCAGGGTACATGCCTTTGATCGGAATCGAACCTGGTACCTTTCAGTCCGCAGACCAACGCTCTATCAACTGAGCCAAACCAATTTCGGCAAGGTACATGCTCTTGATCTGAATTGTACCTGGGATTCTTGAGTCCACAGGCCGATGCTTTATCCAATCATTTAGGGCCTCCTTAAAAAACTGTCTGCTGTTACCTCTAAGCCTTAAGATCTACCATGTTTCCCCGAAAATAAGACATCCTCCGAAAATAAGACCTACTTACAGGTTTCCTTCTTAGTGAAATATAAGGCATCCCCCCTTCCCCCGAAAATAAGGCCCCCCTAGGCTAAACATGAGAGATTTGGTCCACTGACTCTGAAAGAAATGGAGTCACAAGAAATTCACCAGGAAATTCAGGAATTGGATTGTTATGATAATGTTCCAGAAGATGATGACATGATTGTCATTGAATAAATGAATAAATTTTGATACTGTAGGATTCACAGTTTGTCTGGTTTGTGTTGACAACCACCGTACTACCGTACCGTATACAGGTAATAAATTTCCTTTATTTTCATTTAACAAATGTGTACCGTATTCTTTATGGAAAAATAAGACATCCCCTGAAAATGAGACCTAGCACATCTTTGGGAGCATAATATAAGACACTGTCTTATTTTCGGGGAAACAGGATAGTAGGAAGACTTATGTTTATCATTGGGTAGTCTTCATATTATTGATTGACATGTAAAATTATAAGGAAGGCAGTTTTGTATCAGTAATCTTAAAATGTGCATACCCAGGACAGATTTTAAAAAGCAGTATAAGTTTCTTTTTTCATATTTCTTTATTAATTTCAGAGAGGAAGGGATAGGAAGAGAGAGAGAGAAACATCAATGATGAGAGGGAATCATTGATCGGCTGCCTTCAAGCAGTTCAAGTTTCAAAAGAAGAAACACAAATGAGAAAAAAGGCTTAGCTTTGTGCATAATTTAGAAAAACTTCAGCTTCCCTGTACCGACACAGTTGTCATTGTGATAGTTGAGATGTCCTCTAAGTGACTAACAGATGGGTAGTTGATATAGTGTGGATACGCTAGACAAAGGGATGACTCTCGTCCCCTGTGGGGCAGCACAAAATTTCATCGTGTTACTCAGAATGGCTCACAATGTAAAGCTTAGAAACTGTTTATTTCTGGAATTTTCCATTTGGACCATGGCTGAACACAGGTAACTGAAACAGCAGAAAGAAAACCAAGAATTGTATTTTCTAATGTGAATATACTCCTTACATTAGTAACCGTATTAAATGTCTATCTTGAAAAAGATGTGCAGATTAACTTTAGCAAAAATAATTGTAATTAATAGTCACTTAAACTGGTCTGCTAAATTGTGAGTTGGAAGCCTAAATTGTGAGTTGGTTAAATTTTGCAGTATGTGGAGAATTAGAGTCTTGAAGAATTTATTTAATTTTTTAAAAAATCTGTTGAAGGATCAAGAATTGGTCAAAATAGTTGGAATACGATATGAGGTTGGACCCCCTACACTCTGTTGCCTCAAACTAGCATTTATAGATCCTGCAAATGGAAAACTTATGGACAAGTCTTTCTCTATTAGGTATGTGTTCTTTTTTATGAAATTAATTAAATTTAGATTTTTCTCTAAGATAAAAAAATAAAATAAGAGATAAAAAACCATTTAGATTTTCTCTCTTTCTGGTTAGCATACTCTTTCCATTAGCTGCAGGGTAAACAGTAGAGCACTGTGGACAGCCTAACATTTGGGTGTAAGTTCTGATAGATGGGAACTCTCTAGAAGTAAAAGTAATTTTATGAACTTGTGAATGGTAGCCATTAGCTACATGTGGCCATTCAGCACTGGGAATGTGGTTTCTTTTTATTTTTTAATAAGGCTAGTTGAAGTTTAAAAATTACATATGCGGTTCCCATTGTATTTATTTTGGACAGTGTTGCTCTAGACTAGGGGTGTTGAACTCAATCAGAGAAGAGGCCAAAATCTAAAATCCAGCCTAAATCGCGAGCCGAATGGTTTACTGAACAGTCATAAACTGTCATTGTGATGGAAATGCAGCGGAGTGCAGTGATGACAGCGCGGTGTGGGCCACATTGCAAGGCCTGGCGGGACGGATTTGGCCCACGGGCCTTGTGTTTGACACATGTGCTCTAGACTATAGCCTGCTACCCAAGGAGTGTAATAATCTTATTTTTGTTTAGATATCATGATATGCCAGATGTTATTGACTTTCTTGTGTTGCGTCAATTTTATGATGAAGCAAGACAGAGGAATTGGCAGTCTTGTAAGTCTATCCTTAATTGCATTTTATATATCCTTTGATTGGTGGATGCAAACTTATAAATTCTGGAAAAAAATATAAGTGACATAAGTTTATTTTGCTTAGGGGTTTGGTGCTTACTACTACTTTTTAGCAAACAACATTATGATATGTGATGTTTTGAAGGGATATTTCTCATTGTGTAGACACTTTATTTCCTTTCAGACTTCCCCATACTGCATTATTTCTAATTATATTTAATATGGCCCTGGTTAATTCACAAAATTACCATATGTAAAATAATAAGAAAGTTGAAAAATAATGCAAAGTAATGTCTGGCATACAGAATATTCTACCTCGGATGTCATGTCAAGTCAGACTTAAATAGGCTGATTTGAAGAAACCATTTCTTTAAAAAATAAAAAGCTTATGTTACACTTATGCTTTATAATCATGGGGTATATGGGTGGACAGAAAAAATAAAATCATGTCAGCATGGGCACTAACTTATATGTGGTTTTTATGGTGGCAATTGAAGGTGAGCTGATGGGCTTACTTGCTTGGGTCCTTAATTTGTGTGGATCATTAATCTCTTCAGGACATAATTGATGATGATAATTAGGCCAGTAATATCTGTGACCAATTGTAATGCCTGTTTTATAGGTGTACAGAGAGTATTACTTTTTATTATGCAGTGTTATCTTGGGACGCTCATATTGACATTAGTCACTTAGAATAGCTTTTTCTGCTATTAGTTTTGGTCTCTTACTAGAAATATTAAGTTTTACCCAGGCTGTGTCTTTTGGTGTACACATTCATAAATGATGTTAAGACCTCAGATACTATAAACAGACACTTTTCAGATAAATTTTAAGTCATCTGTACTGAAACAAAAGATTGTCAGAGTGTTGCTGTTCTTAATAAGCTATTTTTACCAGTAATGTCAGACAAGTAATCAACATTATTTTAGGACTAGAGGTAAAGGAAATTTTTTTGAAGAAAAACATCTAGCCACACATACACAATAAGAGACAGCTAGTCATACAGCCAAGTCCCAAAGAGCTTAAAGTATCTTATCTGTTAATATTTTTTCAACCTCCATGATGTGTCAGTGAGAAGCTCTTATTTTTTTCTGCCAACATGTCTTTTCAAAAATGTTTTTAAACTTCATTTTTACAGCTAAACTGTAGAGATGGATTCCTAATTGCCTCTTAAAATTTAGAGGGTTTTGTTTTATTTTTGTGGCTGAGAAATTATTATAGCTAATATTCTGTACTAATTAATTCATTTTTGCTTCCCTATCATATCTTAACCTATTCTCCTGAAGTTTGAGCAGTGGCATTAGAGGATTTTGCTTGTTTCTATTTAAACTATGTTGAGAACTTTAGCAGAAGTTTACTCTCATGAATAGCCCAAAAAGGTTTATTTCAAAATTCCTAATGGAGATCCAAGATGGCAGCAGAGTAGGTGGAAGTTATACTCACCTCCTCCCAGGACAAAACTGAAATTACAACTAGGAAATAATTTATAAGTATGTATTTACTACTAGAGGCCTGGTGCACAACGTTCGTGAACAGAGGCGGTCCCTCAGCCAGGCCTGCACCCTTTTGCAGTCTGGGAGCCCTCAGGGAATGTCCAACTAATGTCCACGCGGAGTGGGCCTAGGCCTGCAGTCGGACATCCTTAGGCATTCGGACATCCTTAGTGCTGCTGCAGACGCAGGAGAGGCTCCCATCTTCGCTACTGCACTGTGCTTTCCAGCCATGAGCCCAGCTTCTGGCTGAGCAGGCTCCCCCTGTGGGAGCACACTGACCACCAGGGGGCAGCTCCTGTGTTGAACGTCTGCCCCTTGGTGGTCAGTACGCATCATAACAACCAGTCATTCCACCATTTTGCATATTACCCTGTTAGTATATAGGATAGGATACTTGCTACACAAGTGTTTATTGATAGTATACATTATTATAAAAGGTTTTTTAATTTTGTTAAGCTTTGTTCTTCATGTGAATGTAACTTATTTTGGAGTGGGTGCTGGGATTAACTAAACAATGGAACCTAGTCATAAATCATTTTAGCCTATTATGTTGTATGGTATGTACCTTCAGTAAATTGCTGAGTGTAATCTTTTTTACATCTATTTTATTCCTGAGGATTACTGGGAGGTGGGGATGGGTGGCTAATTCTAACATTAAAAATGCTTTGATTACATTATCTTTACTGAAATCTTTATCTTGTGACATTTCATAAATAAAAAAATGTCAGTATTGCAAACTGGTGTCTCAGACTGGGTCCTATCTCTTCTAGGTGACAGGTTCCGTTCTATCATTGACGACGCCTGGTGGTTTGGAACGGTGCTCAGTCAGGAGCCCTATCAGCCGCAGTACCCCGATAGCCATTTCCAGTGTTACATTGTCAGGTCTGTATGCACATGAAAGTCAGTCATCCATAAACACTTGTTCACTGTAGTGGGCTGTTGTGTGAACAAGTAATGCATTTCAGGTTTACACACACACACACACACACACACACACACACACACACCCAGTTTTAAACTGTCATATCAGTCTCACCTCTCCAATGTCTCTTTAGCTAGTAACCCTGGGAGTTTTGTCTCTGCTTGTTTTCCTGAGACCTTTTCTGTAGCTTCCTAATATTTTCTCCACCTTGATCCTGACACTGCAGGATCATAGTCCAGGGACACATATTATGTCATTTCCTTTGTTAAAAATACCTTTTCTGCCTTCCCATGGGCTGCGGAATAAGGTCCACATTCTGAAGTGTCACATTGAAGACCTTCCGGCAGTGTTTTTCTTCACTGACCTGGCTCAGGCCACACAAGATTTCTGGTTTACCTTGAACCTGCCATACACTTTCACACATTTCTTACCATGTGTCCTTCTAAACATTTTTACTGTTAGTATTTAAGCTTTTACTGCTACAGTGCAGTTAATTTTTACATTTTCTATCTTCCTGTTTACTCTTGTAGTGGATACCACTTATTAGCCACCAGGTGAATTTAGGAAAGGTTAACAGACTTTTCTTTGGGTGTTACCAGGTGGGACAATACTGAAATTGAAAAGCTCAGCCCATGGGATATGGAACCAATTCCTGATAATGGTATGTCATTGTTAAATGATGAAGTATTTTATCTTTATATTTTTAAGTTTGTTCTCTTACTAATGCACATAGAGTGAATTATATTCTTTGAGACATGTTTTCAAATGATTATGGTAACTGTGAACTTTGCTAAAAGAAGTCAGCAGAATTATGTGAATCTGGTTCATCATTTCTTATCCAGTGTTTCCAGCTGGACGCTGCCTGTGTCTTAGGGGCCCACTGACATTCTCATGTAAGATTAAGCTCTGCCGAACTCCTTCCTGTGGGCTCCTGTCCTTGTCCTCATTCTCCCGTTATCCTGTCTTCCTTCAGAGGGGAGCTCGAACTTGACTTCCGTCTTCACTTCACCTCAGCCGTCTGTCTGTGTGGCCTCTTCCTTTCCTTAGAGAGAAGGGCAGTGCCTGCTGTGGACCAGCTCTCCCTTCAGTGCTCGCTGGCCACTGCTGCTGCTACTTCTGTGGGGCCTGACACTGAACCCTGGTCATTCCCTGCCAGTGCTGGTTCCCTTTCCTTTCTCCTGAGTTTGAGTTTACCTCCTGTACCTTAAAACAGCTTTCATGTGTCTTAAACATTTTATCTACTCAGTTATTTCCCTCTTGCAGACTTTTGACAGGGGGATGTGTTCTATGTCTTTTGCCTCCTGTTTCTTCAGTCTCAAGCTTTCCTTTTCTATCAGTGTTTATTCAGTGTAAAAACAAACAAAAACGTCTGTCCTCTTTCACCCCCACCATTTTTTGAGACATGAAATCTCTCTCCATGAGTGTCCTGTGTCTGCCTTCGGGACCAGCCCCTTTTTTGTGTTTACTCTGGTATGGCTCCATCAACCATGGTGGTTTACTGTGGAAATGAGGATTTTTATGGAAATGAGAAATTTCCCCCCTCAAAAATGTATTTCTAATAACTACACCCTTGAAAGTCACCAGTGATCTCCCTTTGTTAGATTTCATTTGCACTTAGTATCTTACAAATAATTTTTCAATGTAGAAAGCATGTAATAGATAAGGGAAAACCAGCATTTTTGAGGTCTTACTCTGTTCAAAGAACTTTGGGCATGTCATTTAATCTAATCTTGCTCTGAGGTTGATGCTCTGTTACAGATGAAATAAGATTCAGAGAGTTTGCAGTAATTTGTTTGTCATATGCACATCTATTGTAGAAAGGGTAGGAGTTGGATTCTAACCCAAGTCATTCTAACCCAGACTCCAACCAGTGTCCCCCTTCCCCCCCCACCAAATATGTTTTTATTGATTTGTTGAGCCTGCAAGCCAGGCATGTGCCCTGATTGGGAATTGAACTGTGACCTCGTGATTCAGCCACTGAGTCAAATTGGCTGGGCTTTATATTAAATTAAATTAAAATTTTGATTAAATTTCAGAAGGGAAGGGAGAGGGGGAGAGTAAGAGAAAATCATTGATCAGCTGCCTCCTACACGTGTTCCCTGACCGGGAATCGAACTGTGACTTCCTGGTTCATAGATTGATGCTTAACCACTGAGCTATGCTGGCTGGGGTTTATTGCATTTTCAAAATTTTGTTTTGGAGTAATTTGAGACTTAAAGAATGTTACAAGAATAGTACATTGAATTTATGAATACCCAGTTTTCTCAAATGTTAACATCTTAAATAATTTATAGTGCAGCTATCAATCAGGAAGTTATCATTGATACAATTCTAATCCATAGGCCTTCAAATTCGATTGTTGTCCTAATGTCCTTTCATATTTTGGATTTCATTGCTGTGCCATCTTAATCTCTTTTAGTCTGGGGTCCCTGTGTCTTTTCATTCTTTATGTCCATGACACTTGTGAAGAGTACTGGCCAATTACTTTGTAGAATTTCCCTCAGTTGGGGTTTGTCTTCTGTGGTTTGTTTTGTTTTGTTTTGTTTTCCACAATTAAATCCAGGGTTTGCATTCGGGACAAGAGTGTCAGAGAAATGTGTTTTTCATGCATGATATTGGGAGGCACATGATACCAATTTATCCTGTTAATTTTAATCATTTGATTGAGGTGGTGTCTGCCAGTTTTCTATTAAGTAACTACTTTGTCCTTTGTAATTAGTGTCTTGTTTATAGACCTTTGCATTGAATTTAAATATAGTGTATATTTGTTTTTTGTTTTGTTTTACTCTTTCTGTTCTTTTTTAATGGAATCCATAGTTGATCCACCTGAAGAATTAGGAGCTAGTATTTCTGTTACTTCAGATGAGCTAGAGAAATTGCTCTACAAACCACAAGATGGTGAATGGGGTCAGAAATCGAGGGATGAAGAATGTGAACGAATTATTAGTGGCATAGATCAACTTTTGAATCTCGGTAAGTTTTTTTAGTATGAAAAATTTCATGTTCAAGCTTTTCCACACAAGTATTTAAAAAGGTACCATAATTGTGGTTGTGTTTATTACTATAATTCTTACTTATTACCTTTTGGTTAAGCTTGCAGTATTAAATGTAGCTTTAGTGCATTTTATCACTTAGGGGTTAGGAATTTATTAATAAAAACTCTTCTGTCTGCCCTGACAGATATAGCAGCAGCTTTTGCAGGTCCAGTTGATCTGTGTTCGTACCCGAAGTACTGTACTGTAGTGGCTTACCCTACTGATCTTTACACAATTCGAATGAGACTTGTTAATCGATTTTACAGGTTAGTAGAAACCTATTTTAAAAATAGTTTGAAAAGATATTTGGTTGTACGAACTAGAGTAAATGAGGTAATGGTAGTTGATGGTGACAGTGGTGGAATGGGAACTAACACTTTTTGTTTCATTTTCTTCTTTTATTATCATAATTTCTTGATCCGTAAGACATTGTGTTAGGTGCCTGTGGGAAAGTATGATTAGAACCTGCATGAGAAAAATTACCAGATTTCATTCCTTAAGTAGTTTTTCTTACAGATTATATTATGTAGTCTTTTTTTCTTTCTTTCTTTCTTTCTTTTTGAGAGAGAAACCGAAACCGGTTTGGTTCAGTGTATAGAGCATCAGCCTGCCGACTGAAAGGTCCCAGGTTCGATTCTGGGCAATGGCATGTACCTTGGTTGTGGGCACATGCCCAGTAGGGGGTGTGCAGGAGACAGCTGATGGATGTTTTTCTCTTATCGATGTTTCTAACTCTATCTCTCTCCCTTCCTTTTTATAAAAATCAATAAAATATATTTTTTTTAAAAGAGAGAGAATATCAGTTTGCATTCCGCTTATTTATGCATCATCAATTGCTTCCTGCATGTGCCCTGATTGCCCTGACTGGGGAGCAAACCCTATAGCCTTGGTGTATCTACAACACGAACCAACTGAGCTAGCCGAACCAACTGAGCTAGCCAGCAGGGAGAAGTTAAACCTTTTATTTGTATCTTTAACATTCCTATATTTCATTTCATTTAAAAATACAATTTAATTTAGTTGAGTGGACTTTGGCCTTTGAAAGATTAATATCCTAAAGCCATGTGTGTTTTATCTCTGGCTTCTAGAGCCCTATAAAATTTCCTATTCTCAGTGATTTTTTTTTTTAAAGCCGTCAATGGTATTTTATTTTTTATAATTCAACTATTTTGAAAAATTTTATAAGCCCTGGCCCATGTGGCTCAGTGGTGGCTCAGAGCACCAAGAGGTCACTGGTTCAATTCCAGGTCAGGATTGCAGGTTCAGTCCATGTTAGGGGGCGTGCAGGAAGCAACCGATCAAGGAACTTCTCTCATCATTTATGTCACTATCTCTCCCTCTCCCTTCCTCTCTCTCGAAATCAGTAAAAACATAAAAAAAAAACACACACACACCCTGATTTCTTGAGTTCACATTGTTGGTATAATTTAGCTCTGTAGTCAAACATGGAAATGTGCATTTGATCAGAAACCCCTTTGTTACTTTACAGTGAGATTGACTTTTAGGATTGATGATGTTGAGCACATTTTCTTCATTGAGTCTCTTCAAATGTCCCCAGAGGCATTGTGAAAAGGGACCATTGCTCTGTTGGTTTTCTGGATGTGATTAACTGATCTGTTAAGACTTTTGGTCCTTAAATGTATTCTCTGCAGTTTATCTTCAGTATAATTGCTTATGACTATGATCAAGGTGATAGCATGAGAAGGTTATTCATTGTTACTTTGCACATTCTAAAATTTTTTTTAAATTTATTTCAGAGAGGAAGGGAGAGGGAGGGAGAGAGAGAAACATCAGTGATGAGAGGAAATCATCAAATCTACTGCCTCCCATATGACCCCCCCCACCGGGAATTGAATTGCACCTTTGTTTTAATTAATATCATGCTGGCTTGACATGCTGGATGTTTTTACTTGGTTTCTGTCTTTTTATTTTTAAAATATAAATTGCCTTTTTATTTTGAAGGAGGCTGTCTGCATTGGTCTGGGAAGTCAGATATATAGAACACAATGCCAGGACATTTAATGAACCTGAGAGTGTAATTGCAAGATCAGCTAAGAAGATAACTGACCAACTTCTAAAATTTATCAAGTAAGTGACTTCATCTTATAGATGTGGACAAGTGAGTGACTTTGCATATTGTGTTCTTGTAGCAATCCAGTGCTTAATTTTTGCTCTCTGAATTTGATAACCTTTTAATGTGTTACTTTAAGTGACAATACTGTACATACATACTGTGATTGTAATTTCTGTACAGGAATGAGAAATTAATCCAAATTTTTCTACTTTTTAACATTTTGAAATAATTTAAACTACAGACATTTGCCACATATATGTATCCCTATCCATTTAGGGAACATTTTTATTTTACCTATTTGTGGTGTCTGATGAAATGCTAAGGAGCTAGTCTTGAACAGTGCTATTGACTGTAGATGTAACACTTAATTGTGTTTATTTAAAATATATTTTTATTGATTTCAGAGAGGAATCAATAAAGGAAGGGAGGGGGGGGAGGAGAGAGAGAGAGAGAGAGAGAGAGAGAGAGAGAGAGAGAAACATCAATGATGAGAGAGAATCATTGATTGGCTGCCTCCTAGAGGCCCCCCCTCCTTGATAGGAATCTAGGACTCTTCAGTCCACAGGCTGATGCTTTATCCACTCAGCCATACCGGCTAGGCCAGTGGTCGGCAAACACATTAGCCAACAGAATCAAATATCAACAGTACAGATTGAGATTTCTTTGGAGAGCCAAATTTTTTAAACTTCGAACACCACTTCCTCAAAATAGACTCGCCCAGGCAGTGGTATTTTGTGGAAGAGCCACACTCAAGGGGCCAAAGAGCTGCATGTGGCTCGCGATCCGCAGTTTGCCGACCACGGGGGGTGGGGCATTAATTGGGTTTTTAGTTTTTATATCAATGCCCTTTTTCTGTATCAGGATCCTATCCAGAATCCCCATCATGCTCACTGTTTTCAATTTCTTCATTTTCTTTAACCTGTTCCTCAGTCTTCCTTTCATGACCTCATCATTTTTTGTAAGTATTAGACAATTACTTTGTTACTGATTCTTAATTTGGGTTTGTATGGTGTTTCCTCATGATTAGATTGAGTTTTAATCTTTGGATTAAATCTGTGTCCTGTGAGATTGTTTGTATATGTGTGGATATTCTACATAATTTCCTGCCTTGGGAAATCAGAATTGGAATAGTGCAATGAAAACTGACCTGGAAATCAAGATCCAAGGTCTAGCTTAATGTCTTCTAGTGAATATTCTGTGTGACTTCGGACAAACGATTCAGCCTTTAAAATTAGTTTTGCAATTTGATCCTATATGCCTTTCCTCCCTAGTTATAAAAATCCTGTAGAACAATACTGTGTTAGAGAAGATAATTTATAAGTAATGCCATCATTTTCAATATGTAGCAACAGTTGCAGTCTATGTCACTTTTTTGGGAGGACTTGGACTTATTACCTCTTTCCCAGAACATACTTCTGTCTTTCTCCAGGAAGATCGCATATCATTTCCTTCTCCTTTATGCCTGGATATCACTGCTTTAGGATTTGTTCTGTTTACAGTGAGGTTAAAATATAATTTGTTTTAAGTTTTACTTCCTTTTTTTCTTCTATTCTCTTTTATCTCAAATCAGCCATTTTCCTGTTACTCATCCTATGATTATTACTAGTGATGATACTTAGAAAAATTTATCTGTGTATTCATTAACTGAGGTCATATATACGTTATTCCTTAATTACCAGCTTAATTTTTGTGTATACTTAACTGGAAAAAAAAACAAAAACCCTTACTTTTCATATTCTAAGATAGTTGTTTCCACAGAGGATAGAGTAAAAACCTGGTATTTCTCTGCTTGAAATTAGGTATGCTTAGTTGAGCAATTGTTTATATCTAACCTATAGTTTGAATCTTTGGCAACAATAACAACATCTGCATACTGTTAAAAACATGAAAAATTGTTTTTTAGGAATCAAGACTGTACAGATATCTCAGAACTTTCTAACACTTCTGAAAATGATGAGCAAAATGCCAAGGCTTTGGTATGAAGTTTGTCAATTTTACAATGATTTTTGTTCATTCCAAATGGTAACTTGAAAGAATGAGTGAAGTATAATATGTTAACTATACCAATTCTTGCTATATTCCAATTTACTATGAAAATAGGGCACTTGATAAAAAACATTTTTTATTATCTAGATAGTGACATAATTTGTTTTAGCCAATAATTGATTATCAATATACCAAACAAAATATGTCTAAGTGAACAAATTTTCGCTAGAGGAAGATACATTAAAGAAGTACCTTGGAAATTTTTTTTTTTTGTAAAACCAATCAATATCTGAGCATGGACTTAATTGTAGTTGAGAATTCATGAGCATTACCATGCTCAAGTACCCTAGAGTCCTTCCCTCGGGATTGTCTTGAAGTGTCAGTGAGGCAAGTAGCACTGATGCTGCCCTATTTGAGAATCAGGCTGTTGGACCTGGTTGCAGGGAAGATAGTCTTTAAAAGCAATATGGTGTAAAAAAACCCCACCAACATGGCTTAATTTCTACACAAACTTTAGTCCACTGATTCGCATGCTAATTTATATTGGAATAAAAATGGGTACAGGTTTAGGGAATAAGAAAATGTGGACAGACCAAATTGTAGGAGACACAAAATTTTTTTTAATATATTTTATTGATTTTATACAGAGAGGAAGGGAGAGAGAGAGAGAGAGAGTTAGAAACATCGATGAGAGAGAGTTATCGATCAGCTGCCTCTTGCACACCCACTACTGGGGATATGCCCGCAACCAAGGTACATGCCCTTGACCTGAATCGAACCCGGGACCCTTCAGTCCCCAAGCCGACGCTCTATCCATTGAGCCAAACCGGTCCCGGCTGTAGGAGACTCTTTATGGCGTTTCTGCATAGAAATAAAACACAAACTGAAAGCTGCTTTTTATAGCTATATTTTGGAATCAGTGCATGTTCTTAGGGAATGTGTAGAGTATTTAGAATAGTTGGTTTGTTGGAATCTGTGTGCCACAAAGATTATCTAGTATAGTCTGTCTTTTGAAATTTTGTTAACAAGTTATAACCTTGTCTTTTATATACTTTTAAAATTAAAATTATTTGCATTTTTAATAAGAATGTTAACACTTAAGGTATTCTGATTTTTGTTTCTAGGTTGATAGTGATCTCCCTAAAACATCTTCTGGAAGAAGAAGAGTAAGTTAATCTGCCTAATTGATCTTCATTGTTTACCTATTCTTTGTTTAAAATCAACCAAAAGTCTTAGGTGTTGTCTTTGAAAAGTTACATTGATATAGAGATGGAATATTTTGTAAGAGAAAGGAGCATAATCATGAAAGCTGGGTGGTTATTTGAACTATTTTCTCAGAATGAGATGGAGTTAAAACAGTCAAAAAGTAGGGCTATTGCAATCCAAGCTGACAAAAGTAGGAAAGTGTGGCGTGTGGGCAGGCTGTGCACAGGTCTGAGTGGTGTAGAGTGTTCATGCTAGAATAAGCAAAAGGCTGTGTCTGGTTGTTTTTGGGAGCAAATGATGGAGATACTGGAAACCAAGGTTTTCATTTAAAGTAGAGAATAAACTGCACTGTCAAATAGTCAAATGTATTTTGAGGGATATGCAGATAGGTAGTAAAGAAAGTGAGTTTATTACAATAAGAATCTGGGAGTAAAGGATGGGAATCTAGTTTAGGATAGTGTTTGCTTGGAATGGAAAGGAAGGGAAGAAGAGACATTTGAAGGGAAAAATTGGTGACAACCTTTTTTAAAAAAATGAGGATTAGTTGGAGGATGTATGGAAATAAGTTTTGGATATTGGGTAGTTAGAATTGTAGTATCACCAGCAGAACTCTTAAAGTTTTAATGTAATATGTTAGTTAAAAGTCAAGGTTTAATCCAGGAATGTTAAAAAATGTTAACATTTTAAATTTCATCCAAATACTGTTTAAACTTAAGCTTTTAATAAAAATTTTCACAATATGCTTGCCCCAGATAATATTGAAAAGTTAGACTTGAATTTATGTCATCTGATTTGTAATTTTCATAAAATTCTCCTAAGCTTTTAGTACCTGTCTATAATGTGTTTGCTATGGCTGCTCTAGCAAATTATAAATCTGGTGGCTTAAACAATAAAAATGTTATGTGACATTCCGTAAATTGGAAGTTTGACATGGTTTCACTGGGCTAGAATCAGGGTGTCAGCATGGCTGTGTTTCTTCTGGGAACTTTAGGGTAGAATGTGTTTCTTCACATTTTCCAGCTTCTAGAGGCTCCTGGCCCCCTTCTTCCACCTTCAGGTCAGCAGCATAACATCTTCCAGTCTGACTTTAACCCTCTGCCTCCCAGTTGTAAGGAGCCTTGTGATTGATTACATTGGGCACAACCAGATAATCCAGGACCATCTCCCCATCTCAAGAGCATGCCTTTAGTCATAGCTGCCATATAGAGTGACATAGTCCTGGGTTCTTGGGATTAGGATGCAGACGTCTTTGAGTCATTATTCTGATTCTTCCTACCACATCACCCAGTGTGGTATTTCACATTCTGTGAAAACATTTTCTAGATGTGGGAGATCAGTGCTGGATCAAAAAATGTTTTTAGAGTAACATGTTTCTAGATGTGACATTGGATTTTTACAGAAAAGTGGATTTTTTTCCAAGTAGAAAGTCAAATATGGTATTATAGTGTCACCTTTCCAACACTGAAAATACTTTCAATTTGTGGATATGTTTTAGGGCCACGATTGGAAAAAAAGGAGCAGCAAAGCCACCAGCTATGTTGAAAGCAACTGGAAGAAACAGTGTAAGGAACTAGTGAACTTAATTTTTCAATGTGAAGATTCTGAGCCATTTAGACAACCTGTTGATTTGGTTGAATATCCAGTAAGTTGCCATTTTTTTGAATGTTTGGGGCTTTTCTTATTTTGTGTAGAGGAGATCGATGTAGAGGTATTTAAATTAAACTCCTAAAGAGTAAGATGTCTAGCTTCATGTTAACCTTTTCTCTTACCATTTAGACAGTTACATAATAATGGGAGGATTCTACATGGTATCTATTATCTAAGTAGTCCCAGCTCCAGGAAAACTATAAATGGTATAAAAAGTGTCTGTTTTCACTCTAGTAATAAAGGAATGGAAAATGACCTTAAGAAAAAAAAATCAGATAACAAAGCACAAACTTACTGTAGAAAGCTTGGAATTTACAAAAACGTAAAGCAGGAAATAAAAACCAGTCCGAAGCTGGCTCTTCCTTTCCCGACCCCTCTTCTCCCACCAGGTGTATACCTTTGCGTTTCCCTCTCCTAAGCTCCAAGGGCCCTTCTGCATCTGTAACTTGTTTTGTGAGCCTGCGGTCCAGCTGGCTTACTTCTACTACCTTTGTAACTTTCTCTTACAATTTGGGAAAAAAAAAAATACCAGTCTATGTCCTGCTACCAGGTATAATACATCTTGGTTATTTCTTACCTTATCTTTATGACTGGGTCATGGTTTTTTTTTGTTTGTTTGTTTTTTTATTATCAATGATTCTTAAGCTCCTTCTAATTTTTTCCTCTTCTATAATCCTCTATATTAAAAGGGTAATATGCAAATCGACCAAACAGTGGAATGACCAGTTGCTATTATGCGCACTGGCCACCAGGGGCAGATGCTCAATGCAGGAGCTTCCCCCTGGTGGTCAGTGTGCTCCCACAGCGGGAGTGCCACTCTGCCTGAAGCCCTGAACCGGGCCCACTGCTGGCGAGCTCAGTGGTGGTGGCGGGTGCTGTTCCCACCTCCATGGCAGTGCTAAGGATGTCCAACTGCCAGCTTAGGTCTGATTCACATGGAGAGTGGGCCTAAGCCATCAGTTGGACATCCCCTGAGGACTCTCAGACTGAGAGGGCATGGGTTGGGCTAAGGGACATCCCCCTGAGTGCACAAATTTCGTGTACCAGGCTTCTAGTTTTTAATATTTTAGAGATCTGATGCACTTATATTTCTATAAGCAGGAATGAAATTTTGAACTAATTAATGTTTTTAAAACCTAGGACTATCGAGATATTATAGATACTCCAATGGATTTTGGAACTGTAAGGGAGACTTTAGAAGCGGAAAATTATGACAGCCCCTTGGAATTTTGCAAAGACATCCGGTTGATATTTAGCAATGCAAAAGCATATACACCAAACAAAAGATCAAAGGTAATTTAAAGTGGTTTATAAGAAGAGAAGAGCGTTATCTGTATAGATGATAATTTCTGCTGGCTGGGAGAGGTTGGAACACAAAGATGAGTGAGTAGAGCCAGGCTGCTGTTGAGAATAGAGCTGCTGCCCCTGCCCAAGTATCTGCTCTTGCTGCCTCACCACAATAATGTCTGTCTGTCCTGCAGCTTTATGAACAGGATTGGGTATATGATATTTTGTTTATTTGTTTATCTCTTGATAGACACTTGAGTTATTTCTGGGTTTTTTTGTGGCAGTTGTGATTAATGCTGCACTGAACATTGCAGTACTGGTAGGTACAAGTATCGGTTAGAGTTCTTGCGCTCAATTTCCTTGGGTATGTAAGAGTGGAATTGCTGGCTCATAGGTTAATTGTATGTTTAGCTTTTCTAGGAACCACTAGACTGTATTCCATGATGTCTGCATCTTTTTATATTTTCTCAGCCAAGTATGAGGATTCTAATTTCTCCAGATCCTTGCCAATGTTTTTTTTTTTTTTTTTTTAAATTGTAGCCATTCTAGTGAGTGTGAAGTATTACTCTCATGGTTTTGATTGGCATTTCTCTTATTACTTATTACAAATTGTACCTGAGATTTATTTTAATCAGGTATGGTAAGAAGCATATCTGGAGATGACTGCCATGAAGGAAGAAGTTTATACTAACAGATTCCTAGAAATGAGGCACGCCTCACCATGCAGGCCCAAGGGGGATGCTCCATCTTTGGTCAGTAGGTGGAGGCCGGGAAAGGACTATAGCACAAAGCCTGTAGTCCTGGGCTTTTCGCAGGAAGGCAAAGCTGGGTGCAAAGTCAAGTTTCGGATTGGCTAGCTTGAATATTTCCCATAGCTTTGGCCTACAGGGGTGGTCTCCAGGTGTGTGTCTGGTTCCTGGTGTGATTTAGGATGGGAATGGAATATATGTGAGAGTTTTATAAAAAAGATAGAGATATGCCAAGACCAGTTTGGCTCAGTGGATAGAGCGTCAACCTGCAGACTGAAAGGTCCCAGGTTCGATTCCGGTTAAGGGCATGTACCTTGGATGTGGGGACATCCCTGGTGGGGGGTGTGCAGGAGGCAGCTGATCGATGATTCTCTCATCAATGTTTCTAACTCAACCCCTTCCTTTCTGTAAAAGAAAAATATATATATATATATATATTTTAAAAAAAGATAGATGAACTCTGGATTGTTTTGTGTGTATCAGAGGCATGTTTGTTTGTAAGAAAATTATTTGCTATCTCAAGGAATTAGCTAGCCATGTGAGGGGCAATCTTTCCAGGATCAAGTTTCCCAATGCCAGAGCATCAAGATTACAGAATATAGTCAATACACTAATTTGAACATCTCTTTACATGCTTATTGTTATTGGCCACTGATATCTTCTGTGGAGAAAGTGTTTTGCCCATTTTCTAATTGGATATTTTTGTTGTTGAGTTGTAGAAATTTGTTAATATATTCCAGATATTAATCTTTGTCAAATACATGTTTTTCAGATATTTTTTGTCATTTTGTAGTTTGTCCTTTCACTTGTTGGCAATTTCCTTTGATGTATAAAAGTTTTCATTTTGATGAGGTCTCGTCTATCTTTTTCTTGTGTGTGTGTGTGTGTTTTGTGCTTTTGGTTTCATGTCTTAAGAATCCATTTCCAAATCCAGTGTTCACCCCTATGTGTTCTTCTAAGAGTTTTGTGTTATAGCATATATTTAAGTTGTTGATCATATTGAGTTAGTATTTGCATACGGTGTGAGGTGGAAACATTTGTCCCAGCACCATCTATTGAGGAGAATAACTTGGCACCATTTTTGAAAATCATTAGGCGATAGATATATGGGTTTATTTTTGCACTCAATTCTATTTCATTGTATGTATGTATTTGTCCATCTATCTATTATATATCAGTACCACAATGTTTTGTTTACTGTAGTTTTGTAGTAAGTATTGAAATCGGGAAGTGTGAGTCCTCCCTCTATTTTCTTTAGCAAGATTCATCTACTCACAGTCCCTGGCAATTCTTTGTGAGCTTGAGGAATGGCTTTTGTCATTTTGAAAAAGTCCTTTGAATTTTTTATAGAGATTTCATTGAATGTATAGATTGCTTTGTGCAGTATTGACATCTTGACACTTTTAAGTCTTCCTATATCTTAACGGGGGATGTCTTTCTAATTATTTAGGTCTAATTTCTTTCAGTAGTGTCTGTAATCTTTAGTGACAAGTCTTAACACCTCCTTGGTTAAATTTGTTCCATTTATTATATTAGATGGTATTTGAAATTAAGTTGCTTTCTTAATTTCTTTTTCTGATTGTTCATTGTTGGTGTATTAGAAACACAACTGATTCTTTTTTTTTTTTTTTAAATATATATTTTATTGATTTTGCACAGAGAGGAAGGGAGAGAGATAGAGAGTTAGAAACATCGATGAGAGAGAGTCATCGATTGGCTGCCTCTTGCACACTCCCTACTGGGGATATGCCCGCAACCAAGGTACATGCCCTTGACCGGAATCGAACCCGGGACCTTTTAGTCCCCAAGCCGACGCTCTATCCATTGAGCCAAACTGGTCTCGGCACAACTGATTCTTGTACGTGATTATTGTGCCCTATAATTTTGCTGAGTTCATTTATTAGTGATAATAACTGGAATGTTTTAGTATTGTTATATATAGAATCATCATCTGTGAATTGAGATACTTTTACTTCTACCATTCCAATTTGAATGATAATTTTCTTTTTCTTGTCTAATTGCTCTCACTAGAACTTAAAGCACATTGTTGAATAGCAGAGGTGAAAGCAGGCATCTTTGTCTTATTCCTGATCTCAGGGAAAGATTTTCAGTCTTTCACTATTGTGTGTGATGCTAACTGGGGTTTTTTATATATGCCATTCTTATTGAAGAGCTGATAATTTTAGCACCCACTTTTGTTAAATGATGTTTATTTTCAATTCAATGTATTTCTGAATTATACATAAAAGCTAATAATGAGAAAACATGAAAATGGTGATAAGATAATCAGGGTTTTCAAACACTGTTTGTTAAAATTGATGATTTATACTAGACTTCAGGTTTCAATGAAAAGAATAAGTTTACCATATGCACAAAATATTGAAAATAATTGTTAAAGATCATATCAAAAATCAGATTAGGGATTGCAAATTTCACATATATTAATTTTACAGCTATATCTACACTAATAAAAGAGAAAAATGCTAATTGTACCTTCGCTACGCCCACAGCCAATCAGAGCAAATATGCAAATTAACCCAACAAAGATGGCGGTTAATTTGCATACACTAAGGCGGGGAGGAGTGAAGACTGAAGACAGCATAGAAGGAAGAGGGAGGGAAAGGGGAAAGCACAGCAGTTGAGGCTGTGGCAGTGATGGTGCATGTGGCCAAGGCAGCCTCAATGGTGGTGGCTGGCGGGGTGGGTGGCAGCCGCTTGCAGGAATCTTTCTGTAATGGGTCCCTAGTATTTATATGGTAGATATATGAAACTTTTTTTTTCTTTGTAAATATATTTTATTGATTTTTTACAGAGAGGAAGAGAGGAATAGAGTTAGAAACATCGATGAGAGAGAGACATCGAACAGTTGCCTCCTGCACACCCCCCATTGGGGATGTGCCCGCAACCAAGGTACATGCCCTTGACCGGAATCAAACCCGGACCTCTCAGTCCGCAGGCTGACGCTCTATCCACTGTGCTATATGAAACATATTTTTAAAGGTTCTTTAATGTTAGGGTTTCTCCACTGTCAGCCATGCATCAGAGTGATTCTTAATTAGCTCTGGAACATTAGACTAGTGCACTTATTCTCAGGAATGATTGCGACAAGTAAAGAGTACTTCCTATAACTACATAGCTGTACCAAATGTTACTTATAGTAGTACTTAACATCACATTGCTGTTCTTCCCAAGATTTGACATTACTTAATTATAAAAATAGTTAAGACACAATCTTTCATTTGTAGTAAAATTTTAGGCCATATTTTCCTCTTTCTGCTGGATGCAAGGTATTCTTTTAGATCTACGGGTCATCAACGACAGTCAGATTTCAAGTAGAGACTGGTAGAGACACTGCTCTTTTGCTGCCTAAGTAGCAATTTGAAAACCAACAAACTTCCATTTAACTTTCAGAAAAGGTTACATAGAGGTTTGCACATGTAGATGTGAAAATTGGAAAAGCCAAGATACCTGCTCTTTCTTGCAGACTCTTGTAGATGTCATTGAAGGGAAGGGGTGGGAAATAGTCAGAGCCATTATCTGTAACAGTAATACAAAACATTACAAGTAGCCTCAATGATTACATTGTCATTTTTTAAAAGATATTTTGTGGTTCTAGTTTTGCTTTTATGTTCTTGCAGATTTACAGTATGACCTTGAGGTTGTCTGCCTTATTTGAAGAAAAAATGAAGAAAATCTCTTCTGATTTTAAAATTAGTCAAAAATTCAATGAAAAACTTCGAAGAAGCCAGAGATTCAGGAGACAGCAAAAGTGTAACCGTGCCAGTCAGGCTAACAAAAGTGCCAGGTAAATTGGTTATTGCCAGCTTTCTATGCAACTTTGTAAAATTTCAGGTTGTGATAATGTCTTTAATTTTATTATGCAAAAGATTCTTTTTTGGGGGGGGGGGGGGGGGGATGCTGGAAACTAGAGGGAAAGTTGGGTCATATTGAGACTCAGATTTATAATGTGAAAAATGCCTACATTACATAAATGTTTCTCCCCAAGCATTTAATCCCAAGAACCTGAAATATTCAATGTGATTTTCTGTAACTGTTACTTGGGTCATTTGTTCATTACTCCAACTTATAATAAAACAATATCAAGTTTAGAGTAGTGCCAGAATAAGATGTCAATAACGGATATTTTAATATTTTGATCTAAAATTATTCTCAGATTAAATTAATAATATACTTTTATTTAAGTGTTTGTTTTGTTAAATGCTGTTTCTTTTGTTCATATGTTTAACCAGAAATACCAAGCAGAAGCGTTTAAAATCACAGACAAGAGTAATTTCTGAGTTGGTAGGTTCTCCTACCCAGTCTACCTCAAGTCAGGCCGCTTATTCTGCAAGCCACAAGACCAGGGCCAGCGTCTCTTCGGGTGACTCTTCTGGGGACTCTTCCGATTCAACAGCATCCTCAGGAAGAATGACAAGCAGTAGACCCGTCACTCTCACAAATGGTTCTCCGTTATCTGGTGAGAAGTGAATGTTAAGTTATTCAACTGCTAGTGCTCAGGTGTATAATGCTGCTATTAGGTCTAGTAATAATTAATGTCGTTTTCTAATACTTTTTTAAATCGAATTTATTTAAACAATATAACAAAATTTAATCAACAATATAGTTGCCATTGTTTTCTACTACTTGTGCCCAATGCTCAGGAAGCATTTTAATCCCTCTGTTGTAAAATTCTTGTGATTTTGATGCAAAAAATTCAGTCAATGCATTTTTGAGGCATTCTTCATTATTAAATTTTTTTCCAAGAAGAAAGTTTTGCAAAGAACGAAACAAATGGTAATCGGAAGGGGCAATATCAGGAGAATATGCAGGTTGAGGGAGAACTTCCCATTCCAACTGGCGCAGTTTTTCAGCAGTGATTCTTGTAGTATGCGGTCGTGCGTTATCGTGGTGAAGAATTACGCTCTTCCGATTAATCAGCGCGGGTTCTTTTTCTCTTAAAGCTTGGGCTAACCTTTCCAATTGGGCATTATACACTGTACTTGTAATGGTTTGGGTAGATGGTAAAAGTTCATAATGAAGAATTCCTTTAAAATTCCACCAAACACACAACATCACTTTTTTCGCATGGAAGTCAGGTTTTGGCGTGGGCTTTGGAGTCTCATTTTTGTTCAACCATTGAGGCCGCCTTTTCAAATTAACATATAGCACCCATTGTTCATCTCCGGTAACAATTTGCTCTAAAAACGGCAAACGGTTTTGACGAAAGAGGAGCGAACTGCAAATTGTGACTCTTTGATTACGGTTGTTGTCGGTCAACTCATGAGGAACCCATTTTCCAAACTTTTGGACTTTGCCAAGTGCACGCAATTGATTGGAAATTGTTTTTTATGAACAATTTAAAGTTGTCGCAAGCTCTTGTTGGGTAATTTGAGGATTTTGCACCAAAAGATCTTGAAGAGCTTCTTGATCAAAATTGGTCACACGGCCTCGACCACTCTTGTCATCTAACGAAAAATTTCCCTCGTGAAATTTCTCAAACCAACGCTGGCATTTTCTGGCGCTAACTGCATCTTGACCAAGAGCACTACAGATGTTTTTTGCAGCCTCACTTGCTTTTCTTCCTAATTGGAACTCGTAAAGCATGCAGTGCCGAATATGCTCTTCATCCGCCATCTTCTTAGCCCTAGTTTTGCAACAAAAACCAAACCAAACACAAACTTTTTCAAGCAAAACTTGTTAATTGCACTTCACACGTTCTGTAGATACCACATGTTTGAAGGTTATGTCAATACAAGTCAATGCCAAGCAAGATTTTAAACGAATGTTTAAAAACGACATTAATTATTACTAGACCCGATAGTTTCATAACAGAAGAAGTAGATGGGGGCTAATTAAGTTTTTAAATGCAAGTTTGTTTATTCAGCATATACACTACTTTCTGAATCCAAAAGCAGGAATAATATGCTACTTTCAGAAATAAGAGAACAAACTTGATTCAAAATGCTGATTATGTACCTTTTTTAAAATTTTTATTTATTTATTTATTTATTTATTTATTTATTTATTTATTTATTTTTGATTATGTACCTTTTAATACCAAAATTTTATCAGCTGGTTGTTTTTTTTTCCGAACAACTTTTAAAAATATACTCTTAAGTACTAGTATTTTAGGAATCTGCTTTAAGTCTTTTGTTATGAAGTAACTACTTATATGTGTAAAGGTAAGAGAATACGTGTAATGAACTGTTGGTGCTTTATTTTTCTTAGAAAGTGAAATGGAAGATTCCTTAGGCACCTCTTCCTCGTCCTCGGCGTCTGAGAGTTCCGAGGAGAGCACAGGGAGTGCAAGAGCCCGGGAGCCGTCCTTGCGCAGGAGGCTGGCCACAAGTGTCCGAGTCCGAGTGACCAGAACCCGCGCTGCGCAGAGAAGACCTGGTGAGAGGCGCGGGTGCTCTGGAGCAACGTGTATCATGAGGTTCCAAAGCTAGACACTGAATGGTCTATGGATTTAATGTATCTGCATTAAATGGCCTTCCGACTTTTTGAAAATTGGGGGGTAGTTGACATACGGCATGATATTAGTTTCAAGTGTTCACGATAATGACTTGATAATCGTATACATTGTGAAATGACCATAAGTCTGTAGTTACCATCCATCACCATATATAGTCACAGATTTTTTTCTCGTTTTCTTGAGATGAGGACTTTTAAGATGTACTCTCTTAGCAATTTTCTCTTTAAAAAAAAAAAAATTATTGATTGGTTTTAGAGAGAGAGGAACATCGATTTGTTGTGCCACTTACTTTTGCATTCATTGATTCTTTTAAAAAAATTATTGATTTCGGAGAGGAAAGGGGAGGGGGAGAGATAGAAACATCAATGATGATTGATTGGCTGCCTCCTGCATGCCCCCTACTGGGGTTGAGCCCGAAACCAGGGCATGTGCCCTTGACTGGAATCAATAAATTTTTTTTTTAAAGTTTTAAGCCTGTCCTGAGGATGTGTTTTACTGATTTTAGGGAGAGAGAGAAGGGAGGGTATAAAGGAGGAGGGAGGAGGGAGACAGGTACATTGATGTGAGAGAGATTCATTGATGGTTGCCTGCCATACACACCCTGAACAGGATTGAACCCGCAACCTTTTGGTGCACCGGATGCCACTCCATCCAACTGAATCACCCTGGGCACTGCTCTCTAGGAGTTTTATGTTTTAGTCTTACATTCAAATCTTAAATCTATTTTGAGTTAATTTTGGGGTGTGGTTTAGGAGAGTAGTCTAGTTTCATTCTTTTGCATGTACTGTTCAGTTTTCCCAATACCATTTATTGAAGAGTATCTCCTTTCCTGATGTGTATCTTTGTCTCTCTTTTCATAAATTAATTGACCATGTATGTGTGAGTATATTTTTGTGGTGTCTATTCTGTTGCAACCTTTTAAGTCTTTTAGATTTAGAAAGGAAATCTGTTTTGGCAGTAAAATATAAGGAACATCAGTACTAAAATAGTGAAGTCATTTAAAAAATGTTGAAATAAGGAAGACCTTTCTAATCTTATTGTTACTTTATTTCTAGGTCCAGTTTCTTTAGAAAATGGATGTGGCAGAAAAGCCACTCGAAAGAGAGTCTATTTAAGTGACTCCGATAACAATTCATTGGAAACCGGTGAAAGTTTAAAGGCCCGAGCTGGAAATAACCGGAAAGTGCTCAGAAAGTGTGCCGCTGTGGCTGCCAATAAGATAAAGCTAATGAGTGACATAGAGGAGAATTCTAGCTCTGAAAATGTCTCTTCTGGCCGTAAGCTGCCTCACCGCAATGCTTCTGCTGTGGCTAGAAAAAAGTTGTTATATAACTCTGAAGATGATCAGAGCTTGAAGTCAGAAACCGAAGAGGAGGAGGAAAATCAACCATCACCAGGGTCCAGTTCTCATGCTGCCCAGAATACTGTCAATGAATCTGAAAATGGAGATTCAGAGTCAGAAGGTGACTTGCAGGAAGTCCGGAAAAATTGGCATGCTAATGGTTACAAGTCCCATACTGCAGCAACTTCTAAGACAAAACTTAAAATAGAGTCTTCTGAGGAAAGTCACGGTTCAGATCATGGACATAACAGAACTAATGACCCATCAACATCTGGGCAGAAACTTACGGCAGGAAGTGTCTCAGGGGAAGAGGAGGAAGCAGATTCTGAACCAAGGAAATACCCTGTTAGGAAATACAACACAACTCGCAAGAATGCCACCTTCCTTAAAAAAGCAAAGGTCTTCACTGATTCAGAGGACTCTGAATCTGAGGAAGATAGAGGAGATGGAAGATGTCACAAAGTGGAAACAAACCTACCGTTAGGAAATTTGAATTGTGAACCTGTGGCTGCGTCCCACTGTTTCTCAGATCACGTGTCTGAAACTGATGTGGATTCAGATGATGACAAAACAAAAGAAAAACCAGACGATTTTATGAGAGGTAATTGAAAACGTCACTGATTTATTCTATTGCCCTTTCCTTGTAGCATACATTGTTTTTCTTTCCTGTGAAACCTTGCCAGCTGTTTTCTCTCCACTCCCTGCATTCTCCGTTAGTCTTTTTTTTTTTTTTTTTTTTTCCATTTCTCATATTCATGTGTATGTGTGCCTAACTATTTGTTGGGTGCATTTAGTTTTACTCACGCAACAGGCAATTTGGCCTTAACACTATTACTGTTAAAGATTTCACTTCTTGTGTTGCTGTTGGAGATGGGTTTAAGAAAACAAAGGCAAGCACATTTATAAACTGTTGTGATGAGAGTTTGAGAAAAGGACAGAAAAGGGTAGGGCTGATTGAAAGGAATGTGGTGAGTAATAATAGCAGCTAACAACATTTTCCAAGATTTTCTGCATATCATGATGTTTTTCTAAATGCTTTATGTTGTTTTGTTTTTAATCTTTGACCAAAGATATGTTTTTGTTTTTATTTTTTAGAAAGAGAGAAACATCAATGTGAGAGAGAAACATCGATTGGTTGCTTCCCATATGTACGCTGACCAGGGATCAAACCTTTATGTTTATTAATCAGTTTAATCTTCATGTCATTTATGAGATAGGGACTATTGTTAATTTTACTGATAACTGGAGCACAGAGAGGTGAGATAAGTTGCCGAATTAAGATTGTACTGGTAAATGGGGATTGATAAAAAATTTTAAAAGAGCAGAAGGCAGCTAAAGCTAGGATGAAAAGTTGGTGTGATAGGAACTTGTGAAGTTAAGAAGTGCTGCAGGCAGGCTGAGAGTAAGTGGTTAGTTTGCATACCCTAGTGTATTGGTGAAGAGTTTAGTCTGTACTCATGTAAACAACTTGTTTTAATGTCAGGTGTTTGTGCTAGAAAGACCTGGGTTTTATTGAGGGGAATACTTGTGAATGGTGCTGAGGCCAGCACATCACTGCTCCCATCCCACTCACTGCCATTCTCCTTCCCAGTTAATAAGAATGAAGAATTATGGACTGATGTCATATAAATGTTGTATTGAAGTTTAAAGGAATATTCTTAATTTTTAGATTCGACATCACAGGACCATGGACAAAGCAGAAAAGGTTCCAGGAAAAGGGTGTGTTCCAGTGACTCCGACAGCAATGTGAAGGTGGCTAAGAAACCCTCCAGAGCCAAAACGGGTCTCCAGAGGGTTCCTCGAAGATGTGCAGCCACCGCTGCCAGTAAGATTAAGCACATGAATGATCTGGAAGATGCTGGTTCAGAGAACGTGTGCACTAGAGGCAAGAGGAGAAGGAAGAAGCCGCTCCGGTTTGCATGTTCCACAGCTGAGAAGATGGGGAGTGATTCTGAGGAAGATGCCAACTGTGACGTGCCAGACGAACAGAGTGCCAGTGAAGGGGAGCTGTCCGAGGCCGACTCGGAAGGGAGCGCAAAAAGCATTCACCAGCCTCTAAATGGAGACTCCGACTCTGAGAGTATGCCGGACTCAGAACATAAGGCCAGGCCTGCCAGGCGTACCAATAGGCACAAAAATGTTGCACCTTCTAGAACGAAGAGTTCGTTGTTTGGATCTTCAGAGGAAGATTCAAAAAGCCATATTCCAGTGGGGGAGATGGGTAGAAAATTTTCTCCCGCATCAACTTTGGAGCAAAAAACTACTGCAGAGACTAACTTCGAAGAGGAACTGAATTACGGGCTGCGCAGGTGGAATGGCAGAAGACTCAGGACCTATGGGAAGACTCCTTTCAGTAAGACAGGAGCGATCCAGGACTCTCCGGAAGCAGCGAAGCCGGAAACAAAAAGGAAGAGACTGCATCCTAAATCGGGAAATGTGAAGAACTCAGAAACAGCAGGGAATTCAGAGCGCGGACCCGACACTAGTCCCAAATCTGATTCAGAGCTGGGATCTGTAACTGAATCAGATGCTGACTGTGCTGTTGATACAAAATCCAAAAAGAGGAAAACAAAAGGAAAAGCAAAAGTAAATGTTAGAAAAGGTAAAACTTTTACAGCTAACGTATCTAAAACTGTGAGGCAACAAAGACAGAGCAAGCGCCCTAGGTTAAATGTGGATGATAATGACTGGGAGGATGTGGACTATGCAAAGTCTAAGCGAGTTCTTCGACGTTCCAAAATTAAAACGAGAAATCAGGGTAGAAGGACTGTGAGATACCATGATGGGGATGATGATAGAAGCTTAGAAAACGTGTTAGATTCTGATGATTGCACCTTATGACCTTGAGGGAAAACCAGTTCATTTAAAAAGGAAATGGACTGGAAGTTATGGTGAAACCTGGCTGTTAAAATTATTATTTTTTTTTTGTCCTACAATTCAGGGAATATATTTATATTTTTCTATGAAAAGTTATGAATGTGACTAAATCATGACTGTTATTTTTTATTTGCACTTGCTTGCCTTTGTAGCAGCATTCAGCACAGGTGCCAAAATATGCTTCATTTTGGGGGCAGATCTACTTAAACAGTATTTAACTACATATAGCAAGAGTTTGAAATACGTTAAACACTAGACATCCTGGTTATCAAAACCAATGAGCATTACTTTCATGGTCGCAAGTGCCATGCAGATATTTTTGGAATTTGTCAAGAGGTGGTAGTTTCTATCCCGTGTCATATTGTAGCATAACAATTTCACAAGACCTATGTTTACAGATTTTTCATAAATATTATGTCCATACGGACATTGTAATCATGGGAGGTGTTACCATGATTAGTAGTAGGCAAGGTACCTACCACTTTTTTTTTTTTTTTTTTTTTTCCTTTCCCTGGCTACTTGAGTAGAATGCATTATACCATATTTGGTCATTTTTATTGAAATTGTTTCCAGTTTTCTTTCCAAATGCTGTTGAGTCTTTCTCTCTTTTTCTTTATTTTAAAGGAAAATATTATTATTTTATAAACTTGAATTTATAAAGTTCTGGTAAATTATTATTTTTTAACTTTTTTTTTATAAAACATTTTGATCATATATTTTAATTCCTAAGGCCAGACCATAGTGCAAGCATTTTCTTTTAGATTGTGCTCTAACTAAAGGCTATATAATTTTCTTTTCATGATCTGCTGGTTTCCATGTGAGGGATGTAACCAAACTCTTGGTCTTTGATAGTCTTACTCTATGACATAGAGGAGTTTGTGTGCCTTAGATTTAGGGAGAGTTTATTCTTTAATAGAGTGTACAGAACGCAGAGAGTATTTAAATTATAGTTCCCCCCATTTCTATTGAAACCGTAGGGTTGAGTTTTGTTAAGTGTGCAATTGCAAATCTCATCTATATGGGAAACTAGTGAAACATTTTCTCCATCTCTTCGTTTTAGCTCACTGCTGCCAAGTGCAATCTCAAGCATTCTTTGCTGGGGCAACTTAAGTGTAACTTCATTAGTGACCTCTAGTTTAAACCTAAGAAAAGTCATATTTTGTTGGAAAATAATTTTGGAATCCATTTAAAGCGAAACTTTTTATCACATCATCAAATATCATAGTACACTTTTTTTTTTTTTTTGAGCCAAATATTTTTACTTGATAAGATTGTGCTACTCCAAACAGTATAGGTGGCCATTCCTAGCTTGTTTGTGCCTGAAGGTGGACTTGATTCAAATGGTTTACATATTTTGTAGCGAAGGGGTATGTTACAGTACTCCCACCTTTACTATTTATTGGCCCTGTTTGGTTTCAGACTAAATTAACCGTTTTCTCCTGTGTATCCTCACAGTGGCAGATAGGGGGAAGCACCAGACTCTGGTATTAGTGTTAGAGAATGTTCTTAAGTGTTGTTGCTTTGCAGTTATCTATTCTGTTTGACATGGTAGCTGTATTTTCTCTCCTAGACATTGCCAGGTGAGAGAGGTGGGAGCCTGCCTCTCCTTTGCGTGTTTAGAGATGCTCTTCCTCTTAAAGCTTGTGTTAAGTGCAGATAGACAGTTCGGTGCAGGATGGTTGTCCTTCACTCTTGACCTGAAAAAATTAATGGAATGCTCTTACTTTCTTAATTTTAAGAAGTGATGATAGATGTCATATCCATTAATTTATTTAAACTTTTCTTAAGCTTCTCCATTTTATCTCTAGTCTCAGGGTTCTAACTCCATGTTTACCATCATTTGCAAAATGGTACCAAAAGTCCGTAAATAAATATGGAATACATTCATAAACACATGAATTCTTTTGGTAAAATGCTAGTTTGATCATTTAGGCTTCATCAATAGAACTATTCTTTAGACTAAATTAACTGGTCATTGACTGGCTGGTCAACTAATTCCTACTTGTTCATTTTTCCCCCCAAATTGTTACACCCTTATTTATATAAGAAGTATTCTGGTTTCATCTGGAAAAAAAACCAAACACAAGAATTGTCCTGGTAACTTTGAATGTGTGGTTGGCAATGGTAGCTTCTCAAATTCTGAAGTAAAACTAAGGGATTATATAGAGAGAATCATTTTTGTGGGGTTTTTTTGGTCATGGTGCTATTCCTAAGGTTAACTGAATATGTGACTCACACTCCTAAATACCTTTAAGGAAAATTAATAAATAATTAATAGTTCAAAATGTTTACATTGAGCACTAGAACGTTTGATTTTTTTTCTACTTTATGCGAAAAGGGCAGGGATTTAATGCACAGATGTACTTTAATAAGTTTGGGATCGGTTTGTGTTTTTCTTGTGAGAAAAGATAAAAGGTTACAAATTGAATGTGAACTGATGAAGGGCTATAGCTTTCCATTGCACTTGACAAACTTAATGGTATATGAAAAAATACTACTGTGTTGTGTATGTCCAGAGTCCTCTGACTTGGTTCATTTATGGTTTAAACAAAAAGGTTTGAGGTACTTAGGTTTGATTTTTTTTTTTCTTTGAGTAACTAATTTTACCAAGCATATTAAGAAAAAAGAATTCAAATGTTTAAAAATAGGTGAGATTTTAAAAGCATTTTTTTTCATATTCTACTTTTAAAAAATAGGTATATTGACAATGTATAGTAATTTCTGAATAAAAGAAAAAATATATCCCAAGATAATTCCTAGGATGGTCGTTCTCCCTTTTTTTATTTTAGGGCAAAATCTCTGATTAAATGCTTTCTCAATTTAGTAGTCCTTAGAAAACAATAAAGCAGTTACAGCTTTTACATTAAAAACAAAAGTTTCTTTTAAGTAGTAGAGCGTTGTACCTAAAAAGGAAATTAGTTTTATAATAAGGAAACAGAAGGAAAGAACTTAAGTTTTAGGAAAATTCACTTCAAATCTAGAAGTGCAAATGGAAAAAGGAGCCAGAAACCAGTAAAAATACCGCCTGAGTTAACCGTGGTCCAAAAACAAGAATAAGCACTTCACCAAGTTCTCCACTTCAGCAGCTGATGACATCTTCAGTACAAATTCTTATTTAGAGTAACATTGGGTCCATACTGCATTCCCTGTCTTTCTTCTAGCCTTTTTCAAGAAGAACATTAGAACACAAAATTTATTAACTTCACTGTATAGTATTAAAAACTAGGCTGAAAGGATTTTTAATCTCTTCTGCAAGTACAAGCTGAATTTGTACCATCTGAACAAAATGAGGGTTTTGTATATCAAAATGCAAGAACGTCATTAAAGGTGCATATAATATTTTTGTTTTTTTCTTTCTATTCAATCGAATTGACTTTTCAAAAAACATTTAAGTGGCCAGATGAGGTCTTTTTGGCTTTTCCTTTACTATAGCTGAAATACCAGCCCCATATTTTTCATTGATATTAAGTCCAAATGTTTACTTTGTCAGGTGTCTTGGAGCTGTCACCAAGTACTAAGTTTTCTTACAGCATCTGGAAATTACAGCTCAATTCTGGTATGAAAGGGTGCAACCACTCTCCTCCATTGTAGAAGAAGTTTTTGTCACTAAGTACACCGTGCACTTCTGCAGTGGATATCGGGGAATAATAAAGCAGAAACCCTAAGAAATTTGCAGCCTAACCATTTTATTCTTGTATTTGGGAATAGAAAGACCAAACTAAATAAATTTGTCAAAGCTAGGGAGAAAGTGAAACCTTGTGGGAAAATATAGTCCAACTACATTAGTAAATGCTAATCCTGCTTGTAACTCAATTGTGAATTAACAGAAAGGATTGAAGTGTACAGAATATAATGACGAGGGCTGTGTTCCTCTTCTTACATTCAAAGAGTATTTTATAACTATTTTCTTAAATTGCAGATGTTGCCTAAGGATACATGGGAATTCTCAAAGTTCAGAGGGTTTTACCAGTCACTGCCAAGCTTGTTCCTAATATCAATACATTGTTAATATGGTAGGGAAAATGTCTAGATTCTGGTTGCCCAATCAAGGATTGCTCTTCAGATTTGATGGAGGGATGCTGAAGAGTGGGCAGGGCAGTCACAACATTTGGGTCCTACCAATCAGTAGGCTCTTAAGTTTGACAGCATATCATAGAGTATATATATAAATGTCAAGAATAATTGTTTCATTCAGTGTAGTGGTCAGTGTTGCAGTGTATTTTCTGGTCATGCTTTAGTTTTGAAGTTAATTTTACGGTAAGTTTTATCATTTGTTAAAACTTCATGGGGATTTGAGTGCTGAGAGAGAGGCATTCTGACCTAATGAAATGAGAAGACCAACGACAGACTTGACCTCAGCAGCTAACCCTACTTACTGATGGTTCCAGAGGGAAAGTATTTGGAAATGGTTGCCCTTTACAATTAGTGGTTAAATGTGAGAGGAATCTTTAATTTTCAATATATTGAGCTATATTTTCTAAGTGCTGATCAATATTGAGTCCTTGGACTGTACGCATTCAGTTCACCTGTAAAATTCTCACTGTTTTACTGAAGCCTGTCAAAGAGGTAAAAATCTTTTAATTTTCACTCCCACACAGCTCTGCTTTCACTGTCAGCACATCTGAGCCTTCACGTTTTCATCTAGAGGCCAGTTTTTTAATCAGTTACTCACTAAAAGAATAAGAATATAATAAGTTTAGGCTTTTTTTCCTTTTTTTAAACGACTTCAAGCCTCCTGGCTGATTCATTAAGGTCAGCAAAATGGAGCCAGTTTTCCTTGCAGCTCATCTTGTCTTAAGCAGGGTTACAAGCGGGGTGAGCGGGAACTGGAGGGGTCATGAGCTGTGCTTGGGTAGGGTTGCCCGGATTGTCTGGGCCCCACTGCCTTTCACTAGGGAAGCAATAAAGTAAATTGGAAACTCGGCATTTACTTCTGATACCCTACCCTGCCTCCCTTAGTTTGAGATGTCTCAAAAAATTCATTAGGCAGATAAGTATCATATCCCTTTCATACTTCAGAGAGCTTCCATCACAATTTTAGAAAAAAGTTAAAATGCCCATCACAAAGCTTGTGAGAATCTTAAGTACGTTACCAGTTAACTTTTCTAGGGATGAAAGCCTGTGTGTAAACAAAACAATTCAAGGTTCTCTGGTACCCTCACTGGGTGTATTGTAAACTATAGATGAACTTCAGTTCACTGATAAACCATAAACGTGACCCCGCTAGTGGAAAACAGCTCTATGGAATTATTTCTGACATCATTTGACCTGACACTCCATACTACAGAAGACTTCTTAGTGTTACCAACTCCCCTAGGGAAAATTGTAAACAGTTAAACCCAGAGAGTTACAGAAAACATTATTTTACAGGCATTCTCTAAAGACACTTCAAAGCCATGGGATCCGTTTGAAAACAGGCTTTGGGGGGGATGGATATCGTTAAGTGCTCTATGCTTCCCGAGTTTTGGTCATTTCATGGCTTAGCAGTGAGGGGAAGCAGTGAAGGAATCTCGCCCGCTCTGATACAGGCTCACCTGAAAGAGACCATAATTTGCAACTAAAGGTTTCCCCTCTGTATGGAATTGATTTACCTACCAACCACACGAATCGATGAGAAGTAAGAAACAGGCTAGTATATTGTTTTCAGCAGCACGCATTCTTTCCCATTCTCAAATTTGTTTTTAACCCAATAAAAATGCCAATCAGATTAAAATTCTAAATGCTTCTATAACAATGATGTGTAGTTGACTTTGGATTTAGGAAAACAATTTTGTATCAAATATAATTGGAATAAAGTAAAATTGGAATATGAACAATTCTTAAAATATAAAAAGATTATTGCTTTCTGTCAAAGCTGTATTGTCTATATCCATTTCTCTTCATTACAGACCATCTTAGAATACACAGTGATGTGAGTCATGATTTAAAGTAACCTGACCGAGGACTACTGCAGATGTAGATTTCTACTCTACTGAAGTTTTTCCATACCCAAATAGGGGTTCCTTTACAGGAGAGCAGCAATGCTTCAAGCATACTGACTGTTCCAACACGGGACTGACCCAAGACCATCTGGGACACTAGGACTAATACTATCTTGTTAGTGACACTATTATCATATAGGATCCTCCAAAAAATTTAAGCTTGTACACTAACATATAAATTGGACTTCTAGCTGAATTATCCTGTATATCTAAAAACTAGTTTTCCAAAAAAAAAATAAAGCACTTAGTAATTTACCAAGTTCTCAGTAGTAAAATTAACACTGACATGTATGTATTATTTTTATTCCACACAAGTTATTCAAATGCCTTAATATCTTTTTTAATATGGATTTTTTTACAGAGTAGAAGGGAGAGGGATAGAGAGTTAGAAACATCTATCAGCTGCCTCCTGCACACCTCTTACTGGGGATGTACTCACAAGCAAGGTACATGCACTTGACCAAATGGAATCTGGGATCCTTGAGTCCCCAGGCTGACGCTCTATTCACTGAGCCAAAGCAGTTAGGGCTTGGACTGTTTAGGAAGTTCTCGTTTCATGACATAAAACTAGAGAGAGAGCTCTGTCAAGTTGGAGTTGCTGTATGCAAACTAATTTCACATATTCTCTCCCACTTACTTGAAGTTCAGATTTCCTTAATTTTTAAACTCCACTCAGTTTCTTTTGTAGAATCTTAACTTTTTCCTTATTTTGAGTTACAAATAAGCATTTACTAAAATGTCTTAAGTACTTACCAGGTTCCTAAGTAGGGTACTTCCAGCACTACAGCTTAATATCATTTTTTCATACAAAACTTTGTTGTAATAGGATTTTGTCGATGCTAGTCAACTGGGTATGTGTTGAGAATGGACCAGTTGTCCACTTTTAGTGCTTTTTCAACATGCAAGTGGCTGCAGTTGAGTAATACTAGTATTACCTACCACAAGTACAAATTTCACCTTAATTTTGCTATCTAGTTTTAACCGTTTATCTGATGTAGCATATTAATATACAGGTTTGGGCAAAAGTAGGCATACCATTGTAATACAAGTAAATACAATAATAATTTAAGAATAAACTTACATGGACTCAGTACTGTAAATTTACTTTTGCCTGCCCTGTATATTCTAGCTTTTGCCCACACTGAGTTAATGTGCTAAAGACTGGCTTTGGATCTAGGCTTAGCTTGCAGAGAACTAGTGTTTACAATTTAAAAATTCCTAAGAAGAAATTCTTCCAGGTGGTAAAAAAAACTGCCCCTGAAGCCACTTCCCATTTTACTCCCTGACTTTATATACACGTGACTCCACAGAGTCCCAGGGGGGTGGCCATGGTGATCAGCTCAGTCTGCCAAAAAGTCATTTTTGCAATTTCTTTGATTTACATTGAACACAACGTTTGTTTAAAAAATGTTTTAAAATTGATTTTAGAGAAGGGAGAGGGGGAGAGAGAAGCATTGATGAGAGAGGAACATCAACATGGTTTGGCTGCCTCCAGCAAGCCCCTATTTGGGGATGGAGCCATCAGCCCAGGGAAGAAATGAAGCAGACTGGGAACCAAACTGCAGCCTCCTGGGTTCATAGGTTGACACTCAACCACTGAGCGATGCTGGCCGGCCTAGACAGTTGATTTTTAATGACTTCAAGACTAGGCTGCCAAGAGACAAGGCCTAACATTCAGGGGTTAATGAGCTTAGGGTGCATTTTTATCAAGAAGTATGTCTGCCCCAGAAGCGGGCTAATTCATCTTGTGTTTGAAACGTGAAGATCTAGCTTTGGCTCCACCTAACTTGCTAAACATGGAGTAAGTAGTTAGGCCCACCATCATGTGGCTCAGCACAGCGCAGTGTGATGGAGGACCTGCCGTCCTGGGCTCTCTGTCCTACTGTTTGTCTGGTGGCCCCTCCACTTGCTAGCTCCTGGCTACCAGGACACTTCCTTAAAGGAAGCCTTCCTTGCCCTCAGGGGAGGTTGTTTCTGGAATATGCTCTCACAGCACTGCACTACTAGTTGTCCTCAACAGCACTTGCATATATGTAGAGTTAGTTTGCTTCTGAATTTTTACCCTGATCCTCTGTGTGCCTGGCACATACCTAGCTCAGGAAATACTTGAATAATGAGACTAGGATGTAACAATTCCAGTTATATAAAATGCTCAAATATTTGGGGGGGGAAAATCTCGGATTAAAACCACATTTCAGCCCTATAAAAACAAATATAAAATTCCTTTTTATCTACTAACCAATTTTTTTCCTTTAACCAAAGGAAATGCTGGTATAAATTAGAGTTAAATCCTTGTGATAGTGCTGACGCTGGTCATCATGATGGGATTTCCTCCTTGTTTAGGTTCTAGGAAAATTATTTCAGAATTCCTATTGAATATTTTAAAGCAGTTCAACATGGAGTGCTGGCAATGATACCAAAAGTTAAGACCTCTATATGGTTCTATTTTAAAAATTCAGATTTTAAAAAATTAAGATTTTAGATGAATGACTTTGATGCTGAAAGTACTTAACCCCATTCTCACAAGTCTGCTACTGTTTGAATTGACCGTTATCAGTGACCGTTACAGATGGTTTAAACGCACATGTGTCAAACACAAGGCCCGCGGGCCAAATCCGTCCCGCCAGGCCTTGCAATGTGGCCCGCACCGCGCTGTCATCACTGCACTCCGCTGCGTTTCCATCACAATGACAGTTTATGACTGTTCAGTAAACCATTCAGCCCGCGATTTAGGCTGGATTTTAGATTTTGGCCCCTTCTCTGATTGAGTTCGACACCCCTAGAAGTATGCCAGGTGGAGGGAGCACAGCTCTTATTCAAGACTTTCTTTTGTAGATAAAGCGATGCAAGGTTATTTCATGGTCAAAAGCGGGTCGTAATTGATGATCACTTATGTTTTCATTTAGCAATGTGAGTAACTTTGCCATTTATTGTTTAGGAATGTATTGTTGAAGAATGTAAGTAGTGAAATCTTGTGTTACAAGATTTTTGCATTTACACGAACTTTCACTCGTTTTTCAGAATCTGTTCCTAGAGACAGAGATCCCAATACAAAAGTGAGAACACGTTTGCGTAATCAGAAGGATGCAGTGCAAATGCCTAGTGACACTCTGAGAGCAAAAGTGGTGCCCGAGAGAGTCCCCCGCAGATGTGCTGCTGTTGCTGCAAATAAGATAAAGATAATGAGTAACCTAAAGAACACGATTTCCGGACCAGGTGTCTGGAGTAGGAAGAGTAGCAGAAAACTGCCCCATCGGAACGCTTCTGCTGCGGCTAAGAAAAGATTACTGAATGTGTATAAAGAGGATGATACAAGTATAAGTTCAGAAAGTGAAAAATAGCAAAATGCTTTTGTTTTAGTCAGAGCAGATCCTGGGAGGAAAAGCAGTGACTATGAAATGTGTACGTGGAATTGAAAACAGGGCCACGGGTGGACTGGCAGTTGCATTCTGCTCCTAGCTCTCAAGGACGTCCCTGGTTGGCACCTTCGGAGGAATTTCTTGAGAGCCATAATGCAGAGTCCCAGTGGGTCCCAGGAAGGCTTCCTCTCAGTGAGGTTTTGTACAGACACTACAAAGAACTCTGAATAGGGAACAGTCTGTGTGTGAAGCCTGTGGGTGGACAGGCAGGCAGAAAAGTCTAATGCCCGCTCATAAAATTCCTTTCAGAAGAAAGGGTCTTGGAGAAATTTCTTGATTCCTAAGAGGAAGAAAATATAATCGTCCCTCCATATCCCAGGGGGTGGGGTTGGTGCTAAGACTTCCCCAAATCCAGAGATGCTTCTATGGTGTTTATATAACGGACACACACTCTCTCATATACTTTAAATCGCCTCTACTTAGAATACCTACTAAAATGTGGATGCTATGCAAATAGTTATACTGGACTGTTCAGGACTAATGACAGAAAAGTCTACAAAGCAACTGTGGTTAGCCTAACTAGTATACATCAACAATGTGGCTTTTCCCCTAGTAGTCTATTCTTTGTTTTTTTGTTTGTTTTTTTTAAATATATTTTATTGATATTTTTACAGAAAGGAAGAGAGAGGGATAGAGAGTTAGAAACATCGATGAGAGAGAAACATCGATTAGCTGCCTCTTGCACACCTCCTACTGGGGATGTGCCCACAACCAAGGTACATGCCCCTGACAGGAATCAAACCTGGGACCCTTCAGTCCGCAAGCCGATGCTCTATCCACTGAGCCAAACCGGTTTCGGCCTAGTAGACTCTTTTTTTTTTTTTTTAAAATATATTTTATTGATATTTTTACAGAGAGGAAGAAGGGAGAGAGACAGAGAGCTAGAAACGCCGATGAGAGAGAGACATTGACCAGCTGCCTCCTGCACCCCCCCCCACCAGGGATGTGCCCGCAACCAATGTACATGCCCTTGACGGGAATCGAACCTGGGACCTTTCAGTCTGCAGACCTACGCTCTACCACTGAGCCACACCGGTTTTGGCCTAGTAGACTCTTCTTGAGTTGTGGTTGGTTAATCCCCAGATGCAGAACTCGTGGATATGGAGGGTTGACTATAATGGGAAGTGTACAGGGTCTAGAGCAAAAGCCTAAAGGAATAAACATTTAAAATCTCAGCCTGCTAATTTTAAGGGTTTTGCATTCGAGTATAAAAACTCGGACTCACAGGACCATGATGTCATTCTTACAATACAAATGAGGCACACTTCACTAAGTGCCATCGAGCATATTTGACTTTCGAATGAAGCAAATATGTACGTTAGCAAGATGCAGTTCCTCCCGTTCACAGCCCCAAAGTCCACGAGGACTTGAGGATTTGGTAATCCAGGGGTTTGAATAATGTTCTGAAGTAGTGTTGGAAATGGAATCCATTCATGTTTTATTTTGTTTACAATATTGGAATTCATATTGAATGATGACCACTTGATATGACTGATTCAGGGAATATATATTTTTCTATGAAACCCATGAATGTGACTCACCACTTCTTTTCCTCATTTTTACTTTCAGGGAGCAGCATTCACAGATGCCAAAATGTGCCTCGTTATGAGGCAGGTCTCCGTTTTAATAAGTTAGAAAATACAAATTACAGGTCAGGATCAAGAGTGTCATATTTTTAGATGATACAGCAACACCCTCTTATGTTTCTCTAGAGCACCTTACATGTTAGAACTTTATGAACACTGAGCAAATTTATTACAATCTCAGCACAGCACACTCTAATGGCAGTATGTCTGGGCTATTTCATTGTGGCTTCAAATAGGACTAGAATCCTGGTCTTAATATTAAGAATTTCTTGGCCATGAGGTATAATTTGTTAATAGGTATTTGTTGAAATGAAAATCACCAGGTTAAATGAATGCACTGTCAAATCTTTAACATAGCACATGCTATTGGAAAACTGAATTGTTAGTTGTTTCCCATTGAAAAATATCTGTGAATATTAATATGATTTGCATGTGAAATCTGAAAAAGGAATATATAGAAACCTAACGGTTTCTATATATTCCTTTTTCATTAAAAGACTTATGTAATGCATATATATATATTTTTTTTTGTTACACAGATTCGCCAAGTGTCTAGATTACTTGAGAAATTTGTTTGTGGTTGCATGTCTACTTAAAAAAAGGCTTTTTTTGTTGTTTTCTTTTTCTTTGCATAAGCCAGAATACTTCTATCCTACAGTTCATGTCCTTTATTCTGTTTATAGTATACTTTCAACTGAAATACTGATGCCAATGTCTTGTTACTAGTACAGATGAGAAAGGGGAGAATTTCAAATAAATGAAGTTTTAGGTGCATGGGATTTGCTTTTTGAAATCTAATGAAATTAAACCTATTTCCAGTCCCATATTTACACTTAATTTCATAGAAAATTTTTATTGGGTATTTTGCCACCTTTATCTCCCACCACAAAATGAAAATATTTATCTCAGTTAAGATTGCTTTATGTAAAAGGTTTTTTTTTTTTAAAAAGATGTTTCTAGGACCTTTCAGTGTAATGAAAGGATTCCAATTTTGAATTTATAATTTTTGCTGTGGTTGGGTTAATTTCTCTGGCTTAGTATTTAATTTGAACACAAACATGCCTTTTTTTTAAGTGCTCAGCCTAAACTTATTGTAACTGCATGATATAAGCTTTTGTTTAAATCTTAACATATTTGTAAAATGCTAAAAGGTATGCAGAATTTTAATTACGGACAAATGTATTATCATTACCCTATTTATAATTTCAATGAGCTTTTAGAAATAATTGCTTTATAATTATGAAATCAAATTGAAGATCTTAATAGTAAAATTGACATTATTTTATTTAACAAACGGGCTAGGACAAAGTGATACCAAAACCTTTTTATTTTGTAATTCAGTCTTTCTATACAGCCAAATTAACCCAGGAGTCTTAAAGCAGTTTTAAAACATCACATTGGCAATCTTGTACATTCTAGCTCAAGTTTCCTAAGCACTTACAGGATAGCAATTTGGGTCTTACTGTTTATACTTAAGTGTTCACATTTTGCTTCGAAGTCCAGTCTTATATTTTGCAGTAATGTGTAAAATTGTTAAACATTGGTTTTATGTACATGGTTTTGTGATCAGTGTCTCCACATCTTAAAAGCAAGATGTTTCCAGGAACTGAGTTTTTTTTATTGTCTCAAGAGGCTTCCCCCACCCCAAATTAGTACTTAATTTGGAAATTACTTACAGACAGCACTCCAAAGTGTAAGCAATGCCATGTAGTTTCAGCCCCACTAAATCTAGGTAAACGTGTTTTAAAAAAATTTTCCATTGCAATACCGGATTTTCCCCCTTTTATTTGAACTGTGTACATTTGCCCTTTTTTCTCCTGTTTGGAATAGTGAGTGCTCTGTGAACTGTCTTCCAGCAAATTTGAAAGAGAACCAATTAAGCACTTTGCTTATTAGTGCAAGGCTGTTTAAAGCGGAAACACATTTTGTATTAGAGATGGCCACGTTCTTAAAAAAGAAGCTCATATTTTTGCAGTCTCATAGTCTTTCAGACCATCGGCTTTTGAAATGTGAATTCCTACTGCCAGAGTAAAGGCATCATTTTTGTACCACCAGGAAGCACTGTGTTTTTTCCCGCCCGCCATCCCTCTTCTGCCTGCCCATCCCTCCTCTGCCCATTCCCCCTGCCTATCCCTCCTGCCCATCCCTCCTCTGCCCCCATCCCTCCTGCCTATCCCTCCTCTGCCCCCATCCCTCCTGCCCATCCCTCCTCTGCCCCCATCCCTCCTGCCCATCCCTTCTCTGTCCCCATCCCTCCTCTGCCCCCATCCCTCCTCTGCCCCCATCCCTCCTCTGCCCCCCATCCCTCCTCTGCCCCATCCCTCCTCTGCCCCCATCCCTCCTGCCCATCCCTCCTCTGCCCCCCATCCCTCCTCTGCCCCATCCCTCCTCTGTCCCCATCCCTCCTCTGCCCCATCCCTCCTGCCCATCCCTCCTCTGCCCCCCATCCCTCCTCTGCCCCCCATCCCTCCTCTGCCCCCCATCCCTCCTCTGCCCCATCCCTCCTCTGTCCCCATCCCTCCTGCCCATCCCTCCTCTGCCCCCCATCCCTCCTCTGCCCCCCATCCCTCCTCTGCCCCCGATCCCGAGGACCCTCAGGCCCGTGCGAGTAGTGAACTACAGCTCCCCCTGCCCCTCCTAAGGAGAAGGACGGCGGAAACGGAGCACGGGAGGGACAGGCAGGGGACCCACGGATTCAGACTGGGGATGACTCTTCCCCTCCCCAGGCGGCTACCTGTCCGCACAGGAACACCCGCCCCGCGCCCCGCGCATTCGCGTCTCAGCCTCCCAGGCCCGCAGCCCTGCGGCCCGAGCTCTCCCGCCGCGCTCAGGGTCCCAGGGCGCGTGCGCGGAGGCGGTGCATGGGGCGTGGCAGCGAGCGACCGCCCTTGGGGGCGGGGCTAGGGCGGGGCTGAAGGGCGCGTGCGCGGAGGCGGTGCAGGGGCGGCCGCCTTAGGGGCGGGGCCGAAGGGCGCGTGCGCGGGGGGCGGGGTTGGCGCGCGGGCGGCGCAGGCGCAGTCCTCGGCGCCGCAGTTAGGCGGGGCGGGGGCAGGGACGGCATGGCGGCCACGTTCTTCGGGGAAGTGGTGAAGGCGCCGTGCCGAGCCGGGACGGAGGACGAGGAGGAAGAGGCCGAGGGGAGAGCGGACACGCCCGAGGACCGGGAGGTGCGGCGGCAGCTGGCGCGGAAGCGGTGGGTGAGGCCCCGGCTCGGGAGCGGGGCGGGCGCCGGGCCGCGGTGGCCGCCCGGGCCTCGGAAGGCCGGCGGGCGGGCCGCACAGCTCCCGGCTGCGGCCGGCTGGGCCCCGCGTTCTGCAGGGGAGCCGCCCACCACGCCCCTCGGCGCGGCTTGTGGCTCCGCCCCGGCCCCT